AATATATCTTAACCGGGTTTGTTTTATTTTAATTAGTGTTCATTCATGTTTTTATTTCATTCAAATTCACCTTTATATGGCCAATATAAGCTGAAAAAATGGACAGTTCTTCAGAAAGTCGCGTTACAATTTAAAGGCTGTATGAAGTCAGTTCTCAATATATCTTAACCAAGATGATTTATTTAATCTATAATTGAAACTTGGCTGAAGTGACTTTCTTGCGCACTCATTGCAGTAATTAGTTTGCGTGGTTTCCACGTGGTTTCAACTGGATTGTTTCATTTCATTGGATGTTTTGTCCTTTTCAATAAAGAAAGCTGAAAAAATGACAGTTTTTCATAAAGCCCCATTACAATTTAATTCTGTATGAAGTCAATTCTCAATTTTACTCCAACCATTCTAAAAATATTCACACAGAGACAAGGCAAGTCTCATTCTGCACTTTATTATAAAAATTTGATATGTTGAGAGCACTAGTATGAGATAGATAACGAATGATTTACTGAATTCACAATCACAAATAAATTGAAAATTAAATCTTGAAAAGTGTCTAGTTGTTCATGCTAAATATGTGAAGAAATTTGCATTACAGATTGGTTATAATGTTGAAATTCTTCGATTCTTCGAGAATAAAAACCTACTTTTTCATTCAAATAGTTACAAAGTTTGTTTTATTTTAAGCAGTGTTTATTGTTTTTTATTTCATTTAATTCACCTCAAACGCCCAATATAAGCTGCAAAAAGCACGGTTATTTTACCTAATTTAACATGAGTTTGTGGACACATATTACAAATACATTATACATATAATATACATTATACAGTAAAATGTATGCCTAAACAAAGGCTTGTTCAAGTGGAAGGCTTGCAAAATCAACATATATACAAGGAGTCCAAAAATATTCGTGGTAGGGTGTCCGGTTTCATAATAATAACAATTAAAATCCCTTTGTCTTTGTCTATTAATGGTTCTTATTGTGCTTGTAGTTCTTATTTATCATGCAATAAAATTTAATTAAACTTACAATTGTTGTTACTATAAAATCGGTGGAAATCTTCGGACACCCTGTAGCAGTTCATTCAGCGAGGGGAATTGAGATTCTTAAATCAGTGACTTCAATGTTATCACTATTTACTTTACCAAAACATGTCTCCCTGCGAAACCATCGATATGAAACTTTATGAATAAGAAAGACTGGTATAATAGAAATAGCAATTTCATTTGTTAGTATCCCACGGAATGGCAGGTACATGTGCAATCTTTCGTTCGATCATAGTCTAACTTCTTCAGACAAAACAAAATATAACTTAACATTCCTCGCTGTTTGATCAAGGTATATCTTGTTCTGTTTAAAGAAGTCAAACTATGATTTAACGAAAGCTAACATATATACTACTCACTATTTCGTGAAAAAACATTATTTTATTCATATTCGTAAAATTATAATAATTCGCAGTTGTGCGTAATGTTTAGGCTCAAAATTATAAGGTTTCCATAAAGTCCTTTTACATTTTCAAGTTTGTTATGAAGTCAGTTCTCGGTGCTCCCGAAGTATGCGAACCAAGATGGCGGACATCGGAACGTAACATGGGTAACAGATCAGGGTTAGGCGATAATTTTTTTCCAATTTTCCTTATTTTAGTTCTATTATCAGTTCGAAGACTAGCCAAGAGCCTCCCGTAGTATTTATACCTAAAATTATGGCCTAACCCTAACCTAGTACACATATTACATTCCGATGTCCGCCATCTTGGTTCGCATACTTCGGGAGCCCCCAGTTCTCAATATATCTTAACCAGGTTTGTTGTTTTATCAGTAATTGTTCAAGTATTTTTACTTCATTTATTACATCTGTGAGGGCCAAAACAATATATGATATCGATAAATTCCATTTGCACTTTCAACAAATTTTAAGACTGTTTGAATAAGTCAAATTATGATTTAACGAAAGCTAAGAATATACTTTCAATTTCGTGAAAAAAACATTATTTTATTCATATTCGTAAAATTATATAAATTAGCAATTGTGCGTAATGTTTAGGCTTTTGGCACGTGTTAAAATTACCGGACGTCTCGTGGTCTATCGGTAACGGTCATAAACCCTATAAATCAAAGTTTAAAAAGCGCTCGCGGGAAAGTTTTGACCTCACCATTGTGATCAAATAATTGTTTGTTTATTTAGTTTCAAATGGTCTCTCACTTGTTGCGTAACAATAGGAAACGACACTTTGTATTATGATGGATGATCTTAGGATTACACATGTACTTTGTTACGTGATAATGCTTTTGTATGAACCGGAAATATTTTCTCATTGTTGTGTAATAAAAGTGAAAGCATAATGAATTATGATGTCAGAATAGGGGCGCCATTTTGTTCTAAAAACCGGATTAGCATTGTATAGTATATGTCAAGGAAAACAATTTTTTTCTATTCACATTAATTGATCGCATTAAATAGAAAAGGTGAAATTCTGCAATTTATAATTGCCAAGTTAAATCTTAGCAGGCAGCGGGTTCGGACGGAAACCGAAAACGCGGGATCTCAAGAGTCTTTAGAATCTAAAAGCGTTTCAAGATACGAAAAATTGGTATGTATGAAACAGAAAATGTTTTTTTTCATATTTCAAAATGGGGGGGCTGACCCTTTTTCGAGGTGAATACAACTCTTTATTCTGTTGAATTCCCTAATGGGTTTCTATGACAATAAAGAGCCTAATAATGCCTAATAATCTGCGCATAGCCTTGTTTCGAGTGAACGCGAGTAATTCTTTTTCTAATAATTTCCACAAAAGATTTTATAAGCTCGAAAAACATTCGGAAAACGGCTGGACGGTCTCTGATCTTAGACGAGATAACGAGCCAGCTGTTTGAAATCGGATCTGCCTCACTTACTGGTCAGTTTGAACTGGACAATGGCTTATAACAACAATTAAAACCAGATGTGTTGTGGACACTACTCGGAGTGTTACACTGTTAAAAAAAATTGTAAACTTGCTACAAATTCGAAGTACTTATCCTAAGCGATTCAAGAGTCTTGCTGCACACTGACACAAATATATTTCTGTAAAGTTTCGTCTGACCAAGTATTTTTGAAGTTCTTTTAATTGGATTTATGACTTTTATTTTATTATATGATTCAACGCATTGCGCCTTGCACAAGGCCTCGTGAAAGCGCCCACTGACATGTACTCACAGAGTCGTACCCCCTTTTGAAATGTAAAAAAATGTACTCCTGAAGTATGTGAACCAGGATGGCGGACATTGGAACGTAGTATGTGTACCAGGTTAGAGTTAGGTCATATTTTTATCCCAATTTTCTTTATTTTATTTTTTTTAGTTTGGGGATCAGCCAAGTGACTGTCGTAGTATTTGTACCTCAAATTATGACCTAACCCTAACCTGGTACACATACTACGTTCCGGTGACCTCTATCTTGGTTCACATACTTCGGGAGTACCAAAAAAACTGTTTTCTGTATCACGCATGGCAATTTTTCGTAACTATAGAAACGCTCTTTATGACCCTTTATGTCGAACAAATCCGATAGCTAGGGATGGACAATAATAAATAACACCCAGCAAACTTATATTGTTTTGTAAATGGAAATTTATGTAGTGTAGTATGTAGATAAAATGAGACAAATAAAAATATAGCTGAAACAAAAGGGCAAAGCCTAAAATTAATTTTGTGAGACCTAAGTCCTAAAAATAATACAATTTTTAAAAATAAGTATGCCCTGTTTATATATTATGACCATGTCTAACAATTGCATTTGTGTTATATTTCAAGTATACTTTCCGTAATTTGTAAAAGTATTGTATGGGAATTTGATTGTTCGCCGAGACAGCGTGAAAATTGACTGTTTTGTCATAATGCGAGAATTTTCACGCCGTTTGTTACACCACAGTCATTTTAGCCACGAAAGAGCGAAAGCTTGTTTCGTCACAGTAAATGAAAGTCTTGCTCAATTATGACGACATAATAAATATTTTCACACGATTGTTTCAAAACAATCCACTGAGTTCAAAATAAAAATAAATCAAAGCAAAAATAATCCAAATAATTTAATTAAAAAGTGAAAACCCCCAATTTAACATTACATGTGACTTCATAATCGTAGCCTTTGTTACGCAACAATTACAAGTTTGGCAGGAAGACGATAGGACAATGGTTATTATTATATAAACAACCTATCGCATCTGGTGACTGAAGCAACTTATCCGCCTGCTGAAACCGATATAAAGTTTCAATTTTTGCGCCGATCTGTTGCAAATGGGAGAAGCACCTGCTGTTAATGCTAACACTTCGATATCGGGGAATTCCGCGCAGTTCGCGTCCTGCACGTGCATTGTCAAATAAGATTTTATCGTAGAATTGATGGGTTTCTGCGTCGGTAATTATTAGAAAAATTTGCTCAAAGTGCTTAAATTTAACTCAAGCTTTGAGCAAAGTTACGGACAACCACTGAAATACCATTAGCTACGAAAACTATAAGAAAATAAATTATGTTGGTGCATTACGGGCTACAATTTTTTTTTTATTCCCACTCATGTTCGCCTTTTTTTTCGGTATAATTTAATGTTAGACTCCCTCATTGGTGACGCTGTTTGATAATCATTACTGGTTTATCGCTTCTCCCAACACACTGAAATGCATTTTTTTTTCTTTTTTTATTCTGTATATGCAACGTGTGTTTTCGGCATGTGTAAAAATAAACTACTGACTGACTTTATTTTTATTCTTCCATTTCCCCAGTCGAATTATCATTCGCTCTTAATTTTTGCTCGAGTGATTTCCTATTTTACTGGTTGGAAAAAATAAACTTGACTTAACTGACTCTTATTATGACTATTTGTTTAAAATAAGGTTAGGCGAAGTCACCAAAAATGATTCACCTATACTTCGAAATAAATGCACATATATATCATTTTTTGAGAGAATTTTCCTTGAAAAAAACACAGAAACTGATTTAAAAAATGATCTAATTTTAATTTTATAGGGTTCGCAGGATATGCACAGGATGCAAGACACAAATTGAAGATGGCGAGATGGTGATGCGAATTATTTCGTCATGCGAAGTGTATCACGTGACTTGCTTCAAATGTACAAAATGTAACGCTCATTTGAAGAAAGGAGACAAATACATTGTGACAAGGTATTCACAATAGCTTTTTTGATTTTTTTGGCCGTGGTGCGCATAGATTTTTGTACGAAATACAAAACGGCGTTTACGTTTATTTAATAACCGATTTTCTCTCATTTTTTGCTCAAAATATTTCAACCGCGATGGCATAGTTTTTAAAGCAGGGCCAGGGGAACCAAAGGTCAAAAATTTTGCTCACTCAGACTGGCGGGACAAATGGGTGTGACGTAAAGAGTTACATTTTATGAAAAGTATTTACAGTGTTACACAGAAGCAAAAACGGAAAACAATATGCCTCGTGACGAAACTAAATTTAATCGCAATTTCAACAAATTTGTTGAGTTATTTTTCAGCTAAAACATCAAAATTTGGTTTTAGTTTGGCTGTGGCAGCATCAGCCGGGTCAAATTGAATTACCATACGGGGCCATGGCCCGCGGGCATTGATTTCCTGTTGTCAATGTGTGTTAGATTTAACAGTGTTGGCATAACAGGTCAAAATCTGGGATCCAAATCGTACCTCACTCAGGGTGTGAAAACAATTAGGCGCGTATTGTCGAACTGGGTAGATTCCGATACTTCCCAAATTATCTTCTTACAAATGAGAGGCTGCTTGTGCATGCTGTCTGAAATAGAGAAAGCCTAAAAAAAATTTCACTTTCACTGAATTTCAAAATCACGTAAAACAGTATATTGTAGATATAATCATCATTTGAAGGGACAAATGAGAAACACGTATAATTTTCATTTATTGTTATTTCATTAATTCGTGACATATTTGTTGTAATTTTACAACCGTTAAAAATTTTATTCTGATCTTATTATTAAATGTTTAGTGAATGTAACAACAACAGTCCAAGCGGCATCACGTGTCAAAAATGCTGGGAAGGTCATAATGATGTCACAGATGTAAATGATGTCGTAGACAATGCTAAATTTCTGACGTCACAATTCACCGACACTTCGAACGCATTACCGATCTCTATGACGTCACAAGAAGATTTAGCCGCGACTTTGAAAACTTCAACAAGTTCCTACATGCCCAATATTTCCAACAACACAACCCTCTCTACGTCATCCAGCAATTGTGACGTAATTGACTTGATGACGTCACCAAGATCTCACCAATCATCGGTGATGTCACGTAAGTATTTGATTATTTAATTTTTGTTTTCAATATTGTATATAGTGTGTTAAATATACAAGTTTAATACAATATCTGTTTATTTTCGTTACAGCGAAATCGGATGATATGGGCGATGACGATTCTGATGACGACGACAAAGAAATGACGTCACAGAATATTGATAAAGAGTAAGTGGTATTGCATAGTATTTAAGATTCTTTACCGCTAACAAGACCAAGACCTTATCCAATCACCGGTACTCCTGAAGTATGCGCACCAAGATGTCACACAACCTGAACCCTAACCTGGTATACAACCTGAGTTCAGGTTGTGCGCCATCTTGGTGCGCATATTTCAGGAGGTCCGATCGGCTTTATGTATAGGTGTAGGGTGTCCATAAATAAAAATTGCAAAAGGAATTTAGCGATAGCATTTATTGTTTTGGCCTTCACAGATGTATTATATGGCGTGAAAATACTGGAACAATTACTGATCAAAAAACAACAAACCTGGTTAAGATATGTTGAGAACTGACCTCATAACAAAATTGATTTTGTGAAAGGGATTTTATGGATAAAAAAATAGAATGCCAAAACCTTTTTTCATGAGCCCCTTGAATACTGAATGACTAATGCTAGAAATTTTTCCAATTAGGGACCAGACCACACTCTCTCTGTATCAGATCCTTCAGTGAAATTGGCTTCCCCCCCCCCCCCCCCCCCTTCCTCGGATAAATTCTTGTATACCCACTACCCCAAACAAGATCTTATGAATACAATAATGAGGGCCCCCTTTATCTCAAAATTTCCCCAGTTAGATAGGCCCCTTCTGTTGTTTAAAGGCCCTTTATGTCTGCAAGAAATATACACGTTGTTTAGACTTCCTTCAATCCACCGAAATTCCGGCCAAGGGCAAAACGTGCTAAATAAATCGCTTGAGTAGTATTGCGATTTATGAATTAATAAACACATCACACATTCCTTCCTAAAATATAACCTAGAAACGTCAAGTATCTCACTTTTAATGTGCTTCATTTTACATTGATTAGCGATAAAGACGACGATGATTGTGGTGACAAAAGAGCGAAACGTCCCAGAACCATCCTGAATGCGGTTCAACGAAGAGCTTTCAAGGCAGCGTTTGAAATGTCACCGAAGCCGTGTAGAAAGGTGAGGCAACCTCTAGTCAAGTGCAATGGTGCCCAACCTTCTATGGCTCATGGTCCCCTTTGGAGGCTTTTGGCACTTATGTCCTCCTTTCAATATTTCAGTGGTATTTATAGTGTTATGGACGTTTCCCGACCCTTGACCTCTGGAAAATTCCCCCTATACTTTATCATTGCAAAGTTTAAACGCTGATTTTGAGAGTGTTTTGGAGAGTTGACGCTCACAGATTGGATCACATGTTCAAAACTATCATTTATAAGCACTGCTAGTCTATGCATATGGGACTCATAGCATTTAACCTACTGCTATAGCCCATCTGCACCGGTGACCGAAATTAAAACTATATTTCAGCTTATAACTAAACCGCCGTATCGGCTTTTCCTCTCCCCAAGAGAAATATTGAAAACTTTAGCCGTCTTAACGACTTTCCTCTCCTTATAGCAAATATCAAAAATTCCATTCTATAATATCAGGTTCGCGAAGCCCTCGCTTCAGAGACGGGACTCACAGTTCGAGTTGTGCAAGTGTGGTTCCAAAACCAGCGAGCAAAGATGAAAAAATTGGCGAAAAGACAGCAAAGCAGGGAACACGCTATGGCTATGAAAGTCAGGGAACAGTTCGGTGAGTTTTCAGCTTGTGTTTTATAATTACACACAGACACGTGTACACACATAAATACACAGGTACGCTCACACAATACACATACATAGACACTTACATATGTACACATGCGCGCGCATGCCAATACACTTACATGTAATACATACACAAAGATACACATGTACGTAGACATAGACAAGAGTTTCATAAATTTCCGTGATTCTGGAGCCCGTATCAAAGAAATCGCTCTTGAATATTCACAACTTGATGTTAAAAATATCAACTTTTTATTAATGATCCTAATCTATTTTTGAAAAAGTTTGGAAAATACAATTCAGACTCAAAATCTGCGAAATCTCTGAACTTCGAAACTGCAGCCCTGAGATAATCGAGTTGTGACTCAATTTTGTCAGTAGCAATAACTATTCGAAAATTGTACTTATTTTGAGTCAGATTGGAAAAATCTTCCAGTAAAACACTTTCAAATTCTTGTTGAATAATTACGATCAGGAAATTGCAGAGCATTCTAAAACTCTTGATATTTATTTATTTAATAATTTATTTTGTAGGTTACCACGGTTTTGACCCGATGACGTCACTTCCTCATCCGATGTTTCCTCAGCCGGACGTTATGATGGATCCTGGATACGGTCAATTTCCACATCATCCTCCCCCACCGCACGATGTCGCTATGTGGGAACGAATGCATGGTAAGTGAGAATTGTCTCTTCGCAGGAACAGTGGCGTAAATTTTTGAGCGATTTTACTAACCAACTCCGGATTCAACTTTCGATTCCGGATTCGAACAATTTGACTCTCAACTCCGGAATAACAAATGGAACTTTTTAATCATTCGACTAAATTTATATTTATATTCTTAAGCAGAACATACGAACCCCGTCAATATCTGTATAATTTCAAAACTCTAGAATTCTAACTTTCTGAATTAGATATTAAAACCTCTGGTGTCGCTGCTTAGTAACTAGCTTTGGTTTCCAACTGCAACTGCAACTTCCCTCCCCCGTAAAACTGTGTAATTAACATTTTTCGTAATTTGAGCTCATGTTTACTGGTTGGAAAAAATGAACTTGAATTGACTTGACAGTTCAGCATCTTGCTTCGAGAAAACTTAACAAAAACCTAAATTCGGACAATTCCACAGAACCTATTCATTTTCTCGTAATTTGACCTTGTATTCTCGTATTTTAGGACAAGCACCACCGTTCCACCCAGTTATCGGTTACCCGGAAAACGTCGGATTTCAACGATCTGACCCCATGACCTCTGCGAACGAGCTTCCCCATCCACTTCCGAGTTCAAACTTCGGAGAATTTCAGCCTTACCCAGGCCAACCTATGATTGGAGAACAACCTATCAATCATACTTTTCCACCCAATCAGCAAGCTCCTATGGTCGACGCCCACATGGCTCCACCCATGAGAAACGATGACATGGCAACGCCCATTGACGGACTCTATTCAATGCAAAATAACTATTTCACATCATGACCAGGACACTATTAACAAAAATCAGAAATTTAAAAGCAATTCTCTGTCCTTCCTATTTAATTCAAATGTTCTCATAACGCTAATTTGCAGAATAATCATATTAGAGTTTTCAACATTGCCTCTCTAGGTTCTCTTCAGCGGTATCCAACCGGTAGACCGTGGTCCCCCAAAGTGGCCACGAAGCGGTCGGAGGGAGACCACAATGCTAGCAAAGCATATTATATTTCACCCTTTACGAGAGAATTCACTGTTCTTTCCAGTTTCATTGTTTGATGAGGATATTTCAAGGGCATTTTTAATTTGTTGAACATAGATTGTCCCCCCCCCCCCATTTTGAAAGCATTTTTCTGTATCATAAATAGAAATTTTTTGTGTCTTGAAACGTTCTTGACCCCAAAACTCTTGAAAACTCACGCTCTCCGCTAGATGTCACAGTCTAACTTGGCAATCAGAAATTTCAATCCCAAGCCCCTAGAATTCCCGTCTACGTCACTGTCACTACGTAGTATCAGTATCTGCTTTCGTTCAAAGTTGTCTTCCGTTTTTGAACAAGGCCTGGAACAGGATACCTTCGTTCGACATGGGTTAGAATTTAGTCCGATATTTCTTTCTCGCTCACCAAGCAATGTTGGAGGTGACTCGTACGGGGGTTGAACTCAAGTCTACCTTTCAGTTATGTCCAACGTATTTCCCAATATGACATCGCAACATAAAAACGAATTTTTTTTCCCATTCTGTTTATAAATCATTTATACTAGAGGTGCTTATTAAACCTTTTCATAAAGCCGTTTTGCTCTAGTAATGGCAAAAAACATTTCATCTGCCCCTTCCCCCCCTCCTCAACGAATTGCTCAAATTGTGCAGTTATATGCAACTATCACTATATTTATTGTTATTTATTACATCATTATGGTAAATATTTCATCCATTGTTTTTTGTGACGTCATAGTGTTAAATAAATCATACATGTCATCCGCAAAATGTTTTAGTCTCGGAGAGGGGAAAGGGAAGCCGATAAGACGGCCTAATAGTATAAAATAAAGCAAGTTTCCAAAATTGTACTCTCGGCTACCATAGGTGACGACGGAGAGATTTTCTGATGGCCTCAAGGAAAGGTTCTCTGGGATGGTAAACCAGGCATAATTCGCGAATTTGAAATACATTGACTGTGAAAGGTTAATTTTTTGTTTGTAAACTAACTGATGGGAGTAATTGTTAGACGCGATTTAGTTGAAAAAAAGTGAAAAAAGTGAAATTGAAAAAATCGATGAATCATATTCGGTATTCGAGAAAATTCGATTCGAAATTCGGAAACTACATTTATTTGAAGAAACGGAGTACTTGATGAAAATAGAAGAATTCGAAATTACTTATTCAAAGTTCGAAAACTTCTGGAATCTATATTTAGCTGAAATAGTAAAATCGATCAATTACATATATTTCGACAATATTCAATTCGAAAAGTTATGAATTGCATATTTATCTGAAGTACATTGACTTTGAAATGTTAATTCCTTGACCGTTATGCATTTATTCATAATTAATAATTATTCATTATTTGATTTTTGTAAACTAACTGGTGGAGATAATTGTGGCAGAAACATTTACGAGTCTTTTACATTAAAAAGTTCTTGTCTGCTGTTGTGTAACCAGAACTGTAAAGACAATGAGCATCTCGACCTTTTGCGTTCTAAAAATATTTTAACCCGATTCCAATTGCTGACGTGTTCTTATTCCGCGAAACGGCCCTCCAGAACTATGTGTACCAATAGAGAGGTAACTAATTTCGTTCGCCTACTTTTTATCAAGTTGTTTAAAAGGACTGAAACCTATGGGCAGGGGGTGTTCACTTGGTAAACTCGAACTTGTAATAGAACCAAAATAAGGAAAATCGGAATGAAATTATGGCCTAAATTATTGACACCCACTCCAAATAACAAATTTGGGATTTTCTCTCTCACTAATATTACCCCACCACGTTTTGAAATAGTTAATCATCCAATCATCAAATTAGTAATGATCTAGTCTGAGTTGAAAATAATTTGAAAATTTGAATTTACCTGCCCAATCTGCATTTCTAAACCTAACTGGATAATGTGAGTATATATACTACTATATATATATATACTACTACTATATATATATACCATATACTACTGGGAAAGTTCCCAAATTTGATTCTGTCCACTACACCCGATAGCAACTTTGATTCCGATTGCCGTGCAGTTTTCCTGTTTAAAATACAAATTGTGACTCGGCGCTCCAGAAGTATGTGTACCAATATAGAGGTAACTAATTTTGTTCACCTACTTAACATCAGGTTGTGCAAAGGGACTGAATGCCAATGGGCAGGGGGTATATTCACTTGGCCAACACAAACAGTCCCCGAAGTCGTAACAGAACTAAAATAAGGAAAATCGGCGTAATCCTAACCTGGTACACATACTACAGGAGTACCAACTTTTGGATATCTGAAATACCAATTTGGCAAAAATTAAAATGTACCCTCTCATCCAAGGACCTCAGTTCATATTTTTTTTTTATCTGTGGCCCTTCCAAAGACTCTCAAGACTTGTGGCCCTCGGTTCTTCAGAGTTCTACTACCAAATAGATATTCACATAAATTTCAATGCAAAAATCCCCCTCCTCAACTGAAAAAAAATCACATACTTCATACGTAAATAATCTTTATTGGCTGATAATACTATTTCAAAATTATATTTTACATAATTCTATGTTAATGAAATCTATATCAAAAAAGCGTAGCACAATTATCAACAAAATTCGGAAATATCTGGATTTCAAAATTTATGGTTTAAAATTCAGAATTACATAATGTAGTATAGAATGTCCATATAGTCATAAATTTTTTTAAATTGCAAAGGAAATTTATCAATACCATATATTGTTTTGGCCCTCACAGATGTATCAAATGAAGCAAAAATACTTGAACAAATACTGATCAAAAAACAACAAATCTGGTTAAGATATATTGAGAATTGATTTCATAAAATGAAAATTGAAACTTCAAAGGACAGTCTGACACTTAGTTGAAGAATTGAAGTGCAATTAATAAAATCGATGAATCTTATTCGAAAATACTCGATTGAAATTTGAAAACTTTTGAAATCTATTTTGGATGAAGAAACAAAGCACATGATAAAAAACAAAAAATTTAAAATATTCTGAATCTCAAATTATGAAACTTATATCTCACGAACAAATCGAAACTTCAAAACAATCACAAATATATATCCATTTTTCTAATGTGGTATAAGTCAGATATTGTTATAAAAATTCGAGGTTCGAGATATTCGACTCGAAATTCGAAAACCGTCCGAAATCCATATTTAATCGAAGTTAAATTGAAATGGAGAAGTTTTCGATTGGAAATTCAAAAATTATGAAACACGCTATCTATTAGATCAATTTGAAGAAAAATATGCATTTTTGAAAAATAACAAAATATCCATTTTGCTATGGTAGTATAACTCAGATGATATTATTCATGAATATTTTAAATTCGAGACGTTTTGAAATCTATATTTAGTTAGAAAAATGAAGCTGAATTTAATAAAAAAAAATTATCAAATTCGAATTTTTTGATTTTACATTCGGAAACACAAAATCCAATACATGTATTGGGAGAAAATGAGCATAACTAAAAAGGTAAATATAGATTGTAATTTGAGTCTTCTTCAATCTAAACTTTGGCATAAAATGTCCATTCTGACAGTAACTAGGGGGAGTCAAAAAGCCTCTCCGTTTAGCCTAAAATCTTTATAATTGAAGAATTAAGGATTTCAAGATCAAGATTTTGTTCAAAACCTCAAAATATTAAAAAAGTGTATCAGAAATCAGAATATACATTTATTTGTTAGTTACGTCAGAGATGTTTAACAGGCATGTCACATATAGAAATTGTTTTTTTACAAACACGGGCCTTGCGTGGGCGGCGATTATCCAATTGTTTTATCAATTGGCCATACTTGGGAGTATGTATAAGTCAGAGAACTGGAATGAAAGCTTGGGCTGGGATGTTTTCATTGGTGTTGAAGACATTTAACGCTTACAGGACTTACAAAGCAGTAATCAAAAATAAATTTAATATTTAGAATTGGAACCAAAAAAAACGAAAGCAATCGATAATGTTTTGTGATCAAATTTAAAGCGTTAAAGTGAAATTTATTGTAAATCAGAATTCGATATTTGAAACTGAAGTCAGATATTCAAAAATTTCGGATCCCAAATCTGCAGATTGGAAATAAACAACAATGTTCGAATTTTATATCAGACCTGCAAATGACACCGCTTTTGCGAATATATTGTTCGAAAATATTTGAAATTCAAGAATATTCGATTCGAAATGTGAAGACTTCTGAAATGTACATTAAAATGAATCGCATTTTAAAAACAGTTAACAAAAAATCCAAAAAGAGTCGAAATTCAGATTTATTTATGACCACGAATATGACGAATACATTCCAAAATAAGGCCTCTATTAATAAAGTCAGCAAAAAATATATAATAAGTGTAATAACAGCATATATATGTAAATAAAATTAAAATACATTTATTCAACAGTCGCTCAGTTAATTTAAATTTTCCTGCCATTTTGGGGTAATATATTGTTCGATAACAATGATAGCTTCTTGCAGCGAATTGTTTCAATAATTGCGTCATAATTACGTTGTTAAATTATGTTAAACTGATATAAAAGCAGATGAAAAGTCAACATTTATGGATTTTTCTGTTATCTCAAATAGAAAAAATTTGAAATTCGAATAACACTATGCAGCCACAATCATATAATAAGCAATATATGACGTCATACACAAAGTGAAATTTGAAATTCAAATAACACTATGCTGCAACAATCATATAATAAGCATTTTATGATGTCATACACAAAGGGAAATTTGAAATTCAAATAACACTATCCTGCAACAGTCATATAATAAGCGTTTTATGATTTCATACACAAGAAAAATGCTGCAACAATCATATATTAAGCATTTTATGACGTCATAAAAGTTGAAAATAAATTTAAAATGCGGTGTTATCCATCTTATCCTGTTCATCAGGTGATTGAGCGCCATCTCGTGGTTGATTTCCGAAAATAGCATTCATGTCGAGGGAATTTTTTCCTCCGTTACTACGTTGTTGAGCACCGATCTCACTGTACGTGGGTTCTTCTTCCACGTTCGAGGTAGCCCCCGCTGACCCAAGAGCTTCAGCCATACCAGGGTGATGTCCGTTACTCCATCTTATGGATGAAACGGGTCCAATTCTACAAAAAAATATTTTTTTTTAAAAAAGTGGGGGCTCTGCGTTTGAAATTTTGGGAGGAGGGTGTAGGAAAATCACTGGCTATAAGTCATCCCTCAAAATAGAGAGGCTAACAAAAACAAGTAATGCTCAAACATTTGAACACGAAGCCTGTATTGGCCTATTCGGCGCGGCGGTGTGGCTCAACGGGCTAAGCGTTAGGAATACGCTCGCCACCGCACCTCTAATTACTCTGCGTGGGTTCGCAGGTTCGAATCCCATGCAAGGATGGTTATGTGCGAGAGGATTGCTGGACTCCTCGCCGTCGTTGGGTGGTTCACGTAACCGCTGGTCGGTTACGGCTTCCTCCACCACCAAGTCCATGCTTCCGAAAACAAACAATACAGTAAAAACTAATCCCATACCCAACTTGGAATGGTAACCGGACGAGAGGCCGTGGTTCGCCATATGGATAAGCCGTCTTATCGGCTTTCCTCTCCCCCGGGATAAATATGTAAATCCTATCCTATCCTATTTAGGGTATGACAACCGGTATTTGAATAGGGAGCGCAAAAAGTTAATAACATTAGTGCTTCAACAAAATAATGTAAACTCTTATTTTGAGTTAAATAATAACAAAGAACTATCTCAATTCAACAACAGCCGTGGAAAATTGTCAGGGGTCGCATATCCAAAGTCGTGGGTTATGGCAGGACTCTTCAATGTTCCAGAACTAAAAATAGATTTTATCTATTTCTATCTTTCAGTAGTACCGTATTTTACAGACACAGGCACAATTTAAATCTGGATCCCCCCTTTTTTTTACAAAAATTGATCATGAGCCTTTTGAACCAGTGTGCCTAAAGCAGGGTGGTCCAAGGTTGTCGGCTTCGCGGGTCACAAAATTATTTTTGCATTGTTCGCGGGCCACAATTGTGCCAAGAATAGATAAACAGTGCAATGCAAAACAAACGCTTTTATTGTTGAAACACATAGTTATCAGAGATAGCCATCCCAGGCCAGTAGAATCCGCATTCGATTTTAGTTTTCTATGATGCCTATATTGTTATCATATATTCCAGACAAAAAATAGAAAGCCAGATAATAATTTAGACTGCCAGACACATCATTCAACTTCGCTATTTGCCTCGGCTAGCCATAACACTAGTCAATTTAGTTACATTATTGATGTAACAATATGTCAAATGATTTTTCTGATTAATTTTATTACGAAACAACACGAAATGCGATTTTTTGATTACTCTCCGAATGTGACGTGGGCCACAGATAATGAAGCGGCGGGCCACATGTGGCCCGCGGGCCTGGGTTTGGACCACTCTGGCCTAAAGTATGGATCAGTGCTTCAGACTTTATTGCCTACACTCGATACCGATATTGCTTTCAAAACTGTTGCATCTTTTGGCCTGATGTGTGCTATGTATGAATAATCTTAAACAGCGTTTCTCAAACAGTGATCCGCAGCACACTGCACAAAGTAAATTTATTACACAATTTTTTTATTATAAATTTTACCTTCCAATTTCTTGGTTTTCCGCGAGGCGAGATAAAAAAGCGTAGGTTATTCGGGACAAAAAAAGTTTGAGAAAAGCCGTTCCAAACTAAGCAATTTATTGACAGTGCGCTCTATAATACGGTGCGCTTTATGCTTTGTTAAACGTCAGTAAATAATAGTGGAAATTTAATATTAAATCAAATAATAAGATAAATTAACCCTCTACTGACCCGAGTTGATCGTAGTTGTTTTCAATATCCGATCCTTCACTGATAGTCTGCGCTCTGCTGGTATCATACTGGGTCCTGTAAACGGAAAAAATTGTTGAGTTTATGAGGATAAGTGGTGTATTAGGGCAATGTTCCCCAAACCTTTCGAGCCGCGGACCCCCTGTGTTAAAATCTTAATTTCGACAAACCCTCATTTTACGCGGTATCAATTCCTGTGCCTAACCAACGAGGAAGGGTAATGTCTCATTTACATCACAATAACACGAACGATAATAATGTGTTGGATCAGTTCACTGCACAATTTATCAATTGTCGTAGCAATTTGTGATAAGCAAACTCGTAGGTCCGAATCTACGACAAGTCTCGACCTGTATTTTGTCATCAAATTGGTAAAAGATGAAAAGATGTTGCCTCACACATGTAGGTTTTTTTAATTTCCCCTTCTGGCAACAATGGATATTCATCTGCAACGTTTCACCAAAAATAAAAAATGGCTTCAAATTAATCAGACACTTTATATCGTCACGTGCACTCATCAAGTACCCCAGTTTGGAAAACTCAGTACTAGGGTATTGTTTACTGAACTGCAGGTATTATCCCCTTGTTTACTTTCTACTTCGGAGAAGTATATGTCAATTGTCACAAGGATGCTTGAACGATGGAGTTTTATAAAAATAAATAAGAATAGCATAATCTGGTCTCACGAACTGGCGATTATGTTTGTGAGCTTTCAAGAGATCATAGTCTAACTTCTCCAGACAAAACAAGCTTAAGCAAATAGTGAATGAGATTTTACTGCTGTTTTTATATTAATATTATTGAACGAAGTCAAACCAGTTAATTTAGACTTTCTTAGAATTGTAAACCGTCCTAACTCAGTTATATCATCATGACTTGCTGAAAAACGGACCAATTTACTCATGCCCTCCAAGGGAGCGTAGCGTTGTGTGGCCTCCCAAATCCTTATTCAGAGTATTTCAATAAAATTGAGGTGAACCTAATACAGAAAGAAACAAACTTGTATACTAGGCTTTTATTAGCTCGAACGTCGACTAAGAGTCTTTAAAGCAGCACAAACCAAAGAATGACTTTCAAAATCAAAACACCATGCTACTAAAGGACGAACAGTATACGCCAGCAGGGTCAAATGTCGTGGCTGTTTTAGACGTTGCTAGATTTTAATACATAAATCACCACAAAGTACTTACTGATTTCCTTTAAAGCTGAAATTCGACTCATAGGCCTGGTTATCATGCGTGTACTGGCTCCCCTCTTGTTGTTCTTCGATCTCTACGTGTTGATCACCGTTTCGCTTCTTCTTTTTTCTTCCTTTGTTGTTATTAGAATCATCATCTTCAAGTTTGGAGTCGCTTTTGCTTTTCTTGCTCTGGAAAGAGAGTTTTCAGGAAATTTGTGATAACTCGTAAATGTAACTCAATGTATCTATTTATTGATACAGCTGCAGTCAAGCGATGATTGCTGGAGCGTTTTAAATCAGACACCAATCATTGCTGTGCTGTAGATGTAGTTTGTTAATTCTTTATTCATTTAACTATTGGGCCGCTTACTGTTAGCATCAGCAATTCGATACGTATTTGTTTTCTTGTTTAATAACATTTATTTGTGTTATATTTTACTTTAGATTCATTCTAAGTGTGCTTTAGATTTAAGTTGAATAAAGCCTTATATCAAGGTACTATATTTCTCATTCATTACAAAATTATTGGGCGCTACTTTGGTATGCGATCTCATTTATTGTTTAACATGATCTCAATTGCATAAATACAATCTTATAAAATTCAGTTATCATTGGGTTATCATTGGGTTAGCGCAATGATACTCCGACTGCGGCCAGCCGGTCAATTACAACTGACTTATGCTTGCGCTTCATACTACAAAACAAACGCTGTTAGGAACGATTGAGGAATGATTGATTTTATTCTTTATTGCTTTACTTAGACTAGAAAGAGATTTTTTCCAGCTATTAGAAAAATTTGATAACTGATAGTGAAGTTGCTAGTAATACGGCTGGGAATTTCGAATATCTGATGATTTCAGAATCGAATCAAATATTTTCTCGAATCGAATCTTGAAGACTTGGAAGATATGTGGCATTTTATTGTGATTCAATCAATACACATGGATTAATCAGCTTTGTTTTTGACCTGCACTCAGCCTAAAACTTGATGAAAGCTATGTTTAAGCCCTGTTAAAGCGAGATTCCAAGAGCTCAACTAAACGTTGAGTTCTGATAGAAGACTTTCAAGTTTGCTTAAAGCAAGGTCACAAGCCCTCAACTAAAAGTGAAAGAAGTATCAATACAAATTGTGTCAAGAGTTGCAGTTTTGATGAAGCAAGCATTTAATAATTAAAATGACAAAAGCACTGATAAAAAAATGACACATCCAGATCAAAAAATGTGTAAGTTTGCTCAAACTAGGTTCTGAAAACTCAGCTACTGAAAGAACATGTACTTGGTATTTCAAAGCATAAGAAAATTATATGAAGTGGTGGGCAGAGGGTTTGAACCCAGGACTTTTAACTTATTAAGCAAACACTTACCCCGTATCTGTTAGTTCTGAAGCCGAAATCTGTTACAGACATGAGATGAACAAATGTGGACCATCTATGGACGAGCATAGTCAAGAACTGGATCACGAGAATAATTAGGAAGAAAATCAAGAAGAGGAACGCCAGAGGTTGAAGCTGAAATGAATAATTTGAGTTTAATTTTTCATCCCATCAAACCAGACACAAGCAGCTTGTGATATAGAAAAGGGTTGCTGGCAGTGGTGGGATTCAGTTGATTCGCACCGGTTCTATAGAACCGTCTCACAGAATTTTATGAGATCAGCGACCCAGTTAGCATTACTGGTTACTCTCAATGACTTTTTGTAACAGGGTTTTTGTACCGGGTGAAAAACATGACTTTTGTGATGGAACCGGCTGACAAAAAAATTGAATCCCACCACTGGTTAGCGGAACTTAATTTTGAAATGATCAAAATCTTTTCACACAAGGCCTTGCTAAGGCATTCACTGATGTCTGGCATTGTGTAACTATTTTGCATACCAAATATAGCGGGGTGGTGGTAACTCACAAATTTCTTGATTGCTTCTACAAAAATGGAGTAAATTATTAATTTTGTTTACAATTTAATTTCTGTTTGTGTATGATTGTACCCAAAAGTCCATGCTTCCGAAAACAAATAACTGGCAAACTAATCTCATACCTGACCTGAACTGGTAACCGTACGAGAGGCCGTGGTTCGCCATAATATGATTAAGCCGTCTTATCGTCTTTCATCTCCCCCGGGATAAATATGTAAATCCTATCCTATTCTATTTTTGTATGAGTAATTAAAAAAATTCTGGGTTTCGTTATTTTGGGGTCACCCTGTAACAGAAAAGAGAGACCACGAGAAATTCTAATTTGTCAATAGGTTGCGGCATCAAAACAAAGATATCAGGTATGTAGGTACAGGGAAACACACACTGCATGCCTGATGATAATTTCTGTTTATTCGTCCATTCCATCATTGTTTATGGAATCCGATTATGACTGGAACTTTAAAATTTGCTGCAACTTGACTCGCACCTCGTCATTTAGGGATTTCTACTCAAGTCTACCAACGATTTATTTAAACGGCATTAGCGGAAATTTTTTCACAGTTCATATTCACTCACCTAAAGTTAATAAATTATTTCACACACACTCACACACATCCACACACACAACCATAGAGAAATTATAAAGTGTGAAAATGGGATAAACTTAAGATAAATTACATAGTAAACAAAAATAATGAGAATATCGGTCAGAGACCGAAGACTTATCGATCGAAAGTTAGGGGATCCCCCAAAACAGCGCTCTTACTCCATAGTGACACCTTGTGTTCTATCACTAATTAATTAATAACTCGCTAACTATACGACATAATTCATCCAAAATCAATAGGCTTCTGGTACGACATATGATGAATGCACATGCAAAATCTGGAGCAGATTCGATCTCGCTTTCGTGAGATATCGCGTGCATCTAACAGACAGACAGACATACAGACAGACAAATACCTATCAACATACTTACCGATTAAAATCGATAAGTAATAAAAACAAAAAATAAATAAAAGTACTACAGTTCACTCACCACAATCTCATTTCCGTTCTTATCATAGAAAGTAATGTTGATATCCTGGATAGCAAGTGTCAGTGAGAAAGTCAGCACGATCCATAAGCCGTTGATCAGAAAGTATGCTCCCGTCATCTTGTTACGAAGCTGTATAAGGTCATCTTTGATTCGTGCTTGATCTGCCTGTAATTGGTAAAAAGAGAGTTGAAAATATTGTTTTGTGAAAAGTTTATCTTGAATCCATAATAAGCATAATGGACAATAAAATAATCGATAAAAAAACTAGATAGTGATCGGAGACCGCCAACTTATTGATCTGCGGTTTCGATTCCTTCGCTCTGACTCAATAGCGACACCCCGTGTCCCATCACTAATTAATTAATAACTCACTAATTATTCAACATAATTCATCCGAAATCAATAGACTTCTGGTCCGAGATATAATGAATGCACATGTAAAATTTGGAGCAGATCCAACCTCGCTTTCGTGAGATATCGCGTAACATACGAAAGTGAAACGAACAAACAAACAAACAGACAGACAAATACCCATCGAGATCATTAAGTAATAAAACTGATTTTAGAATCAGGAGAGCGTACAAAACCTTAAGTAAGATTTAAAACATACAGACTTCAGATTCAAAGGTGTTGTCGAAAGAAGTGGTATGTGTTCGCTCACCCAAAAGTATTAAGTTAATTAAAACACACACACTCATACCATCATGCAGACAAAATAAATTAGAAGAGAGAAATAAAGATACATTACTTAGTAAAATATCCAAAAAAATGATAATAAAATTTTTTTTTTGCCGCACTATACTGATAATTTAGTAATTGAGGGTAAAAAATTACGTATGTTTTTTTAAAGCAAGGTATTGCTTTTATGGAAAAAAGGTTAAAAAATTTGTGTTTTTCTGAATAGATAAGCTAGAAGCATGCGCCCCTATTTAAGTGTTCATGGCACACAATAGTACAGAGAGAACACAGATACTAAAACGATAAGAGCTCACAGCCAATCAACTTACTTTATTTTCTTCAAGTGGCAACAAATACTTATTGATCATCAGTTTCCAGAACTCATGTTCTTGGTCGTCAAGGTATCTGGAGAAGGATCAAATATTTGAAATGTTTCAAGGCAATTACAAAAAGTATTGAACAAGAATAGTGGAGTCGAATTTTTTCTGCATTGCACCGGTTAATAAATAAATATTAGAAAGGATTCCTGATTTTGATTTCACAAAAGTTTTGACCTAAACTACTGGTTAAAAGGATTAGGATAGGATTTACATATTTATCCCGGGGGAGAAGAAAGCCGATAAGACAGCTTAATCATATGGCGAACCACGGCCTCTCGTCCTGTTACCAGTCCATGTCGGGTATAGGATTAGTTAGCCAGTTATTTGTTTTCGGATGCATGGACTTGAAATTCGATATTAGCCTGTAGGCTAGTATATGCAGGACTCATACTGGTAAGTTTGAGGGCTACGGAACTCCCCTTTTCAAATTGAAAAAAAAGCATTTAACTGTTTCATAACCCTGTTTTCAGACCCGCTAGTTGATATGGTATGACTTGGTAATTAGAAATTTAACCCTCCCCCCCCTCGTCTTTGAAAATCCCTGGAATCACCCTTGCAGGCCGCAAACCAACTTACTCAATAATTCCATCGGTCATTGGTCCGTCAACAATCCAGTACAACCCTTCCTCCTCTTCGTCTTGAAGTCGCTCACTTTCTACGTCATCAATGCTATCGTCATCGTCCGAGTCTGCTCCGGTGACGCCATTAATCTGTGATATTTCAATCAATCAATTTTATTTTTGTCACTCTGAAAGAAACAAAACAACAACAAACGGACAAACAAAAAATGCAGATGACCTGGAGGACGGGCATAACCTAACAGAAAAGTTAAAAAACGTACAAGTACGTGCCAGTCCACCAAAAACAGTTAAAAGAACACAATAAAATAATGACACAATGTAAAATCGGGCAATACCTTTCGAACGTTTGTTATTTTTTGAACGTTTTATATTTTTTGCATTTTTCACTCAGGGGGAAAGAATAGTCGCTAAGACGAGCGGTGTGGCGCATCGTGCTAAGCATTAGGAATATGCTCAGAATATTTCGCTTTTTATATTTTTTATTATTTAGCTGAAAGCTGATAAGACGAGTTAGATATAGGCAAGGTTACTATACCGTGCTTATTTCTAAGATTTGTGCTTATTTCTAAGAAAAGTGCTTATCTTTGAGCAAATTGTTGGTGGCGATAAATATAAATGATTTGCCCTATGTTTTGACTCAGTAAAGTTAATATTTAAAATTAAGTGTTTATTCACACACATATGACATAATAATATCTTAAATTGTTTCAATGTGACAACACAATGTTACCTTTCTTCCTTCTTCTTCTTCAATCTCTTTCGCAAGTTGTTGAGCTCTGGCAAGCGATGCTGACTCTTTTCTAGTGGTATCTCTTCGGCGTTTCCTAAATAGACGATTTTATTTGTCAAGTCAAGTTTATTAACCAATAAAAAACAATCGTGCACAATATTAGAAGAAAAACATATATTACTGGGGAATGGAAGTCGCGAGGAACCAAAAGCTAGTTATCAAGTAGCGACACCCAAGGTTCCATATCTAATTAAAAATAACAGGAATTTTATTTACGAGACTACCGTCATTGTCTGTGTGTTCCGCATGATTTCGTCGAATTATACAGTATAATTAAATATATTACTAGAGATTATGTTTAAGCGTAAATGAAAATAAAGAGCCAACAGTTCGCAGATGAACAGAACGAGGATTCCCCAATTCAGTGGCGTAGCAAGACTCTCGTGGGCCCACCCGCAAAAATATTTCGTGGAAATGACCCTAAATAGGCTAGAACAACTCCTTTTTTTTCGTCAAAAAGCATAACATGTCGCTATTAAAAGGCAATGGTAACCTAAAATTTGCCTTTTATCTAGGTTACTCTAATTTTTTTTATACGTGCTTCCTCTTCTGCCTTTTTTTTGCGTTTCTGCGCGGCACTGAGAGGTTTTGCTTTCGACATCATTCTGACAGCCTTCGTAATTTTGCCGGTGCGATCAAACCACAAGACGCCGAAAAAATCGACGACTCCCTGGCATTGTTACGTAACAAAACGATTTGAGCAGAACTAACATCAACGTTATAAGATGTGCATTATTGGTTTTGAAATGCAGCCTTTGGTTTTGTGGCTTAAATTTCTAAATTCTAACCGCTTGGGCCCCTTTGCGCTGTGGGCCCTCCCGCGACCGCGGGGGTTGCGGGGGTGGATGCTACGCCACTGCCCCAATTTAAACAGAGTACTCGAAGCAAAAGTGGCTGAGTCACAAATAGAAATTTGAGACTAAAACCCAGGGGTGTAGTCAGAGGGATTGAGAGTTCTTACTGTCTAGGCAATTAGAAATTTCAAACCCCCTTCTTAAAAATATTTGAAATATGCAAGCTCAAATTTTGCATTAATAGTAAATTGCATGTGAATACATTGTTTATTTTATCATATATCAACATCTCATTGTGGGTCGCACAGAAGAAATGGCATCAGAAGTCGCAAAACGGAAAAGGCCTGGAACATGGTTTTACTCCATCGGGCCTGTTGCTACACATACTACGTTTTGGTGTCGGCAGCAGCAAAGTTGATATGGATCTGGTATGATAAGAAGTATTTAAAGCTAAGTTTTACTATCGCTCCCAGTAGCGAAAAAGGAAAGCTTCCCATGTGCCAAGTTTGCGCCAAAATTCTTTCAAACCACGCAATGATACCCACAAAGCCAACGAAAATCAAAATCAAAAAGACAGCGGCAAATTTCTCATTAAATTGGATTGTATTATTTCGCACCGCCTACTTTTGGCGTAATTGCATTCTTTTGATTATGTTTTTTGTTCATCACATTTTTGGTTAATTGTGAAGATCTGCCGGTCAGCGAAATTTGTTTTGAAATTTTACCGGTCCGCAAACTGAAAAAGGTTGAGAACCACTGATCTAAATAATAATATTACAAACATTTTACACTGTTTAACCTTCAATTTATTTATTTCTCACGTATAACAACATCCATAATTTGTTCATCCCCAAATTATTTTTGAAGTTAGGTGGCAGAAGAGAGATCAACTTACACAGATTTCCTCAGCGAAGCAACATCGTCCAGATCCTGATTGTTAGCCATCATGAAACGCAGTTCATGCAGTGACATCTTCCTACTGAGACTTCGTTCGACTTCACCTGGGTCACGATCTGTGGAGGAATGGAATAAAAGTCTCATATTAAATTAAAAAGTATCTGAACCTATAAATCGACTTAGGATAGGATAGGATTCAGATATTTTCCTGGAGGAGAGGAAAGCCGATAAGACGACTTATCCATATGGCGAACCAAGGTTTCTCGTCCGGTCACAATTACATGTCGGGTATGGGATTAGTCGGCTAGTTATTTGTTTTCGAAAGCATGGACTTGATGGTGGAGGAAGCCGTAACCGACCAGCGGTTACGTGAACCACCCTACAGCGGCGAGGAGTCCAGCAATCCTCTCACACATAACCATCCTGCATGGGATTCGAACCTGCAAACCCATGCAGAGTAATCGGAGGTGCTGTTGCGAGCGTATTCCTGACGCTTAGCACGATGAGCCACACCGCCTCACCACTTATACATATGTCACCAACCATGAACTCTTACCCACAATTCACGGTTCATGCTAAACGTGTTAAGCGTTAGGAATAAGCTCGCCACCGCACCTCTGATTACTCTGTGTGGATTCGAGGATTTGAATCTCATACAGGATGAATACTCTGCAAGAGGATTGCTGAACACTTCATTGCTGCAAGGTGGTTCACATAACCGCTGGTTGATTACGGCTTTCCTCCATTATCAAGCTCATGTATGTTAGAATGAATAACTGACTAACTAATACCAGACATGGACTGTACACCCATTGTACACCATATGATTTACCCGTCTTATAGGCTTTCCTCTCTCCTGAGATAAATATATAAATCTTGTCCTATATAAAATGGAATTTTCATATTTATCCCGGGAGAGAAAACGCAGTCAGTTATTATTTTACAGATGAATGGACTCGATAGTGGAGGAAGCCGTAACTGACATCATTACCGGTCCATGTCGGGTATGGAAATAATTAATCAATTAATCGTTTCAGATTTGTGAGCATTGGCCCTATAAATAAAATATCACAAGTCTCACCTTTCTGTCCCATAAATTGAGATTTTGCCATGCTGTACTTTCTTATCATTTCGCTTCTGTCAACCCCCGTAACAGGGCGATGCATCATGCTTTGTCTTCGAAAGGGATCTTCTGTTGCAAGGCGCTGATAGGCTGGTTGTTTTGGAGGCGGGGGAGGGGCGGGGGCCGGGTTAATACACAACGCACATTGACAAAGGTTGCCAAGTCCGCAGCTATAGTAGCCCTCTGCTGTTGATTGCTGAGCGTCGTATAAAGTCGTCGGGCCTATCTGCATACTCTTCCCTTTTGCCTCGTTTTTTCTTGGCCAATTCCTACAAAATTACATGCATTAAAATATAGACCAAGGATATAACAATTGGTTCCCAAATCATGGCGTACGGGCCAATTACGGTGCACGTAACGATAATATGGTACGTCAAACTTACCCAACAAAATAGTTTAACACTTTACGTTTTCACTTTTTCAAGTTCCAGATACCGTCAATTGTTATGTCATTATCACAGTTTAAACACGGGTATAGTCGTAACAATTCAATTGTCCCGATATTTTAACTATATGTACCAGCATAGGCCCCCTAGAACAGTGGTCACCAAAGTGTGGATCGCGACCCCAAGTTGGGTCGCCTTGAATATTTCGGGGGTCGCCGAGTGTCCGCCAAGCTATTTCTCTCGTTTTCTCGTCGTAACGATATCGATAACAGAGAGAGATCGATGCGTTAGTGAGTTCAATATAGTCGGCACAGTTGCCATTTTGGATGATTGTAGCTATACTTTGACAAGCTCTATGACGTGATTGTGTCGTAATTTTTGGACGACGTAGTCAGGTGCGGGATTGGAATGATATATGCAAAAATTATTATGCTACGCCAACTAGAAGTACTTGTCAGCGCGTACTTCAGGAGACTCCATAAATCTACATAGTTTTAGTAACTCAGTTCATATGAAACAGCTTGATCATAAGGTGAATTACGGCCTCTTATCCGGTTACCAGTCCATGTCGGGTATGGGATTAGTTAGCCAGTTATTTGTTTTCAGAAGCATAGACTCGATGGTAGACCAGCGGTTACGTAAACCACTCTATGACGCAAGGAGTCCAGCAATCCTCTCGCACATAATTCACCCTGCATTAACATCGGACTTGCAAGTCCACACTGCGGTGGGAAATGTGCGAGTGCATGTGGCATTACTTTGAGAAATCTCTTTAAAAACTATTTTACTTACTTGAAGAGCTTGTTGCTGCGCTTCGGCGTCCAGAACAGGTTTCCTGACTTCCCGTGTTCCCCATGAGACATTGTTCATGTTGCACAAACTGTATACCATCAGGAGAATAAAAGCGGATGGAACCAATAAGTAATACAATAATCCGTGTAGAAGGCAGAGCATCTCAGTTGGATGGATTATACCCGTGAAGGCATACATGAATATCATGGCCAACATAAAAATTGAATTTGGATTTAGAAGTGCTGCAAATATAAACATATTTTTTAATAGGATTTTAGGATTGATGTTATATCAAAGAAAGATCGGAAAATTAATAAAAAATAGTGCAAAAGTGAAAAGTAAAAGGGGCTGAAAATGTAAAAGCAACCTTTCTTTCGAACTCTTCATAAAAACGTGGTAAAATTTTTTTGACAGTGTTAAAATAATAGACTGACGGAGAATATTTTACCCAATAAATTCAAATTTGCTTGAAGTAAAAACAAATTATCAATTATGTGGTGGGGATTCCCCCTACTCATAAAATGCAAAACTAAAATGGTTTCAACTGTGTCTAAACGTTTCCACATTGGAAAGGAGTGCAGTTTGGGAAGTGAGAAAAAGAGGGAAGAAGGCAAAAGCGGATGTGGAGATGCAAATGAAGCATTAAAATAAGGGGAAGCACCTGTAGGAGGAAACAGAAGAGGGGGGGTAAATAAAAAATAAAAAATCTTACTTTGAGTCATTTGTCCGATGATACCGACAAGTACAGCCATCATAACCAATGCGTAGACAATTGTTAAAATCCCCGCTACAGCAAGTTGAAAGTCCGGCTTTGTTGTGTAACAAAGGATTACAAAGATGATAACAGGTATGAGGGCGACCATCAATGATCCGACAGGTGTCATACCAAACACGTACGCAAATGCACCCTGTACAACTAGGACCACGGTGGCGGGACCAAGAATTGATGAAGCCATTAGTCCCATCTGTAAATAAAAAGAATTGTGATTATAAATAAAGCAAAAGAGGAATGCTCAAATATTTGGGATAGGATGCAGAATGACTAGTAATATGCAATCATGATACCTGCATAATTGCAGTTATCACAATGGTTTTCAACCTTGGTTATGCGAAACCCCCAGGTTTCTGCCATTACAGGGTTTTGTGAGTTTTCATTTATCAGGAAGTATATATTATTGTAAGTATGTTGCCTGAATATAATCAATCACATAGGTATATATCTGACATGATTAAACTACATCCCGCGAGCCGAAAACGGCCCTTTGGGTATTCAATCTCGCCTGCCTGATGATGCCACAACCGAATTAAAACCAAATTTTGATGTTTTAGCTAAAAAATATTGTTCGCAAAATTGAACTTTCGACGCTACACTTACATGGGCCACCGTACAAAAAACGAACCTCCAGAAGTATATGCACCAAGATGGCGTACAACCTGAACATAGTATGTGTACCAGGTTAGGGTTTAGGTTGTGCGTCATCTTGGTACACATACTTCAGGAGCGCTAAAAAAACTTGCCCACCCCTGGTATATATAAACATACTTTCAGGAACCCCGTTTCAAATTGATGTTACACACGTTTTTGATTGGCTCATTTTTATAACAACCAGTATAATCAAAATTTATATACACAGGAGTTTCTCAAATATTTTATGGAATTTCTTTTTCACCAAAAAGTTTGAAACGAGCTTTTGACTATAGTGAAGGCTTGCTGTCATATGCCACCTACCCGAGAAAAATCTCAAATTTTACCATGACCTATGACCTGAACAAGCTTACTTCGATTCATCCTAACACTAATTCGCTCTAGCGCACGATTATCACCAGGTGTATTCATGTCAAAGATAAGCGAAGCTAAACTGGTGTTGCAATAATTCACTCTGTTATCATATTGTCCATTTTTCAATTTTTTCATGCCATGTTAATTCTTACTTTTTATTTTTCTACTCTATAAATATACACGATAGTGTACTCTTCATATCATGCCCTGATAAAGTTTTTCTGAATAGAGATTTGAAACATCTGCGAATGAGATCGTTTTGCTATACACCGGTTGTGCTTCACCTTTTTTCGACACTAATTCTCTCTGCCATCAAGTTCATGCTTCTGGAAACAAATAACTCACTTACTAATCCCAATTAGGGCTGAGCATTTCAAATCAAATATTCGAATTAAATTGAATAGTAAATTATTCAAATCGATTCCGAGCTAATCTTCGAATCGCTGCCAGCTTTTTTCTTTCTGCCAATGGTCGAGGTGAATTTCCCAATTTTTTTTTCCTGAAGTCCTATTTTGTCAACGCAATTCTAACATATGACTATTTTCTGTAGTGAGTTATTGATAAAATGCGTTTCTTATTGTGTGTGAACACTCAGTAATCTATCTGAGTGATGTATTCTATATCTTCAGAAATTCATTTGTGATAATTTCATTTGATATAGCAATATACCTTTCTCACACTGTTATCTCAGAAACATTCAGAACCATTGAGTCATGGTGATTCAAGAGTCTTGCTGCAGACTAACACAAATATATTTCTGTAACGTTTCGTCTGACCATTTCTTCAGACTATGTTGAACTATGTATGTCTGAAGAAGTCTGACCTTGGTCAGACGAAACAGTACAGAAATATATTTGTGTTAGTGTGCAGCAAGTCTCTTGAATCACTTAGGATAGTTATCTTTACTCTTGCTTTACACAGCATCCTTGCATTATATGCATACGAATCCGCCGTTACAAAAGAATAGAAGAAGGATAAGTAGTTAGTCTCGCAGAAACCCAAATCATTGAATTATGTATGTTATTAAATACCTGATAAGCAATGTATCCCCAAGATATGTAATCATTATTTCTCACAGTCAAACCAGCGTTCATCAGGATGTCAAAAACATTTGCCATGGTGGAAGGTCCCCAACGTCTGAAGAAGAGAATAGTTTATTTAAATAAAAATTCTCAAACCTCAAGATGGTGATAATTATCGTACATACTCGGAGATAAGTCGCAATTTTTTCCTTATATTTTTAAAAACAAAATAGGTGCGACCGATCCACTCGACGAAGGGGTTCAAATCGCCACCAAGTCGGAACGAAATTGAAAAGTTTTGGCTATTGCAAATAAACATATTTTGATTATATTAAGCCCTACAAAAAAAAAAAACAGGAAGTGGGGCTCCCGAAGTATGCGAACCAAGATGGCGGACATCAGAATGTAATATGTGTACTAGGTTAGGGTTAGGCCATAATTTTAGGTATAAATACTACGGGAGGCTTTTGGCTAGTCTTCGAACTGATAATAGGACTAAATAAGGAAAATTGGCAAAAAATTATCGCCTAACCCTAACCGGTGTTACGTTCCGATGTCCGCCATCTTGGTTTGCATACTTCGGGAGCACCAAGGAAGTTATCTATGCAAAAAAGCTAGGGAAAGGGCCTTTTAAATCCCTAGAATTTCAGTGCGACTTATGTGCAAGTAAACTCTAAATTAAAATTTTTAACACAAAACTAATAGTGCGACCTATATGGTGGCGCGCGCGACCTATCGAGGAGTATATACGATAGAAAAGAATAGTTTGTTTAAATAAAAATTTTCAAACCCTAGGATGGTGGTAGCACATACTCAAAAGTAGGTACGGGCAACGTAAAATAATTTACTATTCTAGAATACTTAAATGGCGCTTTCGAAGTATGTGCACCAAGATGGCGCACAACCTATACCCTAACCTGGTACACATACTATTTTCAGGTTGTGCGCCATCTTGATACACATACTTCAGGGGCTCCTTTAAATTGAATCCAAAATATAAAAATCCTATTCTATTTTTATTGTCATTCAAATGTGGGAAATCCCCCCCACCATAATGATTATTTAAAAAAAAGAAAAATTGTAAATGTATTACTATCTTTGTATTTAATTGATAATATCCCGAGCATTGAATTTTATTTGTTATCGAACGGGCATTACTCAAGACAATAACAATTTTAATAATATTCTTTTTGCCATGAATCGTTCGAAATTTACTTTGGGATTTAAATCCTCGCTATCCTAAATTGGCCATCTAGTTAAAAAAAGGGTGCTTCCGAAGTATGCAAACCAAGATGGCGGATACCGGAATGTAGTATGTGTACCAGGTTAGAGTTAGGCCATAATTTCAGGTACAAATACTACGGGAGTCACTTGGCTAGTCCCCGAACTCGTAATAGAACTAAAATAAGGAAAATTGGAATGAAATTATGGCCGAACCCTAACATTGGTACACATACTATGTTCCGGTGTCCGCCATCTTAGTTCACCGACTGTACACCGGTAGAACTGGAGAATGTGCTGGAACGTTTCATTTGGACTCCTAATCTCTGGCTGATAATTTTGGTCTAGACTCAAATACCAAATTTCAAGTGCTTATTTTGTATAAAAGACATCATCTAAGAAAATTCAATCACCAGCTTACCTTCTTTGTTTAAAAACATTCTTTAATTAAATAATAAGAGTTATTTAAACTTTGTAGAAATGTGGGGGCCCAGCAAATGTTGATTAACATGAGTCTTGAAGTAATTTAAGTTGACTACTTTTGCAAAGCCAGTTATGGAGAGCTGGAGAGCTAGTTAATTGATTATTTCATCAACAAATTCACTTAATTAATTAACATCCTACCGTCTCTGATTGAAAAATTCTTTAAATTCTTCAGGAGCGAATGTAAACGAATCCGAAGCCGCGGAATATTCAATTCTCCATCCTTGTTTTAAAAGCAAAGTACAAAGCCAACGATCTTCCCCTATGAAGAATGCAAAGTTTTTAGATTTAATATATCATATTTTTGTAGTGTCGCGCCAAAAAGTACTTGCGGACCCTTGTTACAGAATAATGAAACTTATGGGTACAATCACACACAAAGAGAAGTTTAAGAGTATAATGAATCATTCTCATTTCGTTAGAAATAATTATGAAATTTATTTGTATTTTTAGGCCACTATTTTAATTCTCAGTATATCAAAATGACATGTAGAACATATACAGGGTGTCCATAAAAGCACTTACAATTTAAGTTTTGTTGTGAAGTCAGTTCTCAATATATCTTAACCAGGTTTGTTGTTTTTTAATCAGTAATTTTTCAAGTATTTGTACTTCATTTAATACTTCTGTGAGGGCCAAAACAATATATGGTATCAATGAATTCCCTTTGCAATTGTAAAATTTTTTAAGACTTTATGGACACCCTATATTACACTAACACAAAGTAATATTGGACCTCCAGAAGTATGTGAACCAAGATGGCGCACAACCTGAACATAGTAGTTGTACCAGGTTAGGGTTCAGGTTGTGCGCCATCTTGGTGCACATACATCGGGAGCGCCGTAATATTTTCACCAGCATACCTTGATCCCATTGAATGTAATGCAATGCTTCAGTAGCTTTAGTCGTGTACATGTTCACAACGTTCACATCCATAAGAGCTTCACCGCGGAATAAACTGAAACAACCTGGGCTGCACAATACGCATCCTAGAACGTGCTCTGCTGTTTTTTGTAGCCAATGTCCAACCGCGTATTCGAATTTTTGGAACCATACTACCGGTCCGCTTCCTAAGACAGAAAAATTCGTTATTAAGCAGTGGTTCCCGACCTCTTAGGGCTGGTGTCCTTTTAGACTATAACCGTATTAAGCAATGAAGCAAGAAAACATGGGAAGTTTTGTTGTGAAGTGAAAATTAAAATTAGTTTTTCGCCTAGCTTTGTGCCCCCCCCTCATCTACACTGTGGCCCTCTAAGTGGGCCATGGGCCCCTGGATGGGGAACGCTGTAATGCACCCTTGGAAGCAATTTCTGTTTCTGCTGTTATTAAAGAGTCATTCCTATGGTTTTTCGGCTTTTAAATGAGACTTGTTTTATAAAAAAATATAGATGTATTAATTTATAGCAGCGTTTGTCATACTTTATTTGTCTCAGAACACCTACGCATTGCTCGCCTCGCGGAACACCAAGAAATTATAAGGTAACATTTATGGGTGGTTCCCAAAAAATATAGCCAATGTTAAAATTAAAAAACTTGATGTGAGCTTAACAAATAAAAACTTCCTTAGATAGTAAGGCCTGTTCATCTGTTTGTCGTTAGTTGGGAAACAAAATTACGACCCAGAGTAACCGAAGTATGGCCGAGATCACCATGGCAACCAATGTGGTTGAAATTTTAATCCCTGCTTTGCGTAACTCTCTGAATGAGCTTTGGGGACAGTAGTGTAGAAAATTTTGGTGGAAATTCCACTTTTTTTTCATTTCATATCAAAGACACAAATATCAAACATCAATGACCCTCGCCAATATAACTTCCAATTCTAAATACCTGTCGGGTGAATCCTGCCGCAAGCGGCGCCAACGTCTGGATTTCGTTTCATTCGGTCGAGGAGGAGTAGGAGGGCTTTAGGTTGAAAATCAACATCGCCATCTAGCGCCAAGATAAAAACGTCTTCTCTTTTATAAGCTTTCTTCGTCTTGTGGAGATAACCGAGAATGTAATACATGTACATGCATTGTGACCAGCGTTTACGATGCCTGAAAAAATATTATATGTTTAGGCGGTGTGACTAGGGTGTGGCAGCGATGGCTTGTATCATGGGCATTGAATTGTATGAGGGAGCAAATTGGATAAAAAACTTTAATCGTAAAATGTATCAATAAAATAATTTCAAATTGGAAATAATTTAAACTCATGTTTTTACCTAAATAATACAGTCGTTGAAAATCGCCACAAAATTGCATTTAAAAAAGTAGACCTGCTATGCAATTTAAGAGTATGATAAAAATAATAAAAAAAAATTTTTGGGGGGGAATCATGGCCCCTCAGGACCCCTCTGGCTATACCAATGATCTTATCATAGTTTGGGAAAATATTTGATGTTTGAATAAAAAATCTACAGGAATTTAAGAACCATTTTTCTCAAAAAATTTTTTAAACTTTTTCTTTCTGGGTAGATGTCCTCATTCAACTTACCTTATTTTAGACTTATCCTTCAGATGCACGTGGAATAGGTTGCCGTATGGCAGCACAAATTCAAGTCTTCCTCCGTACGGTGTCGGATAAATTACTGGGTGCGATAGGGTGTCTCCTTGTCCAAGTTCCACTTTGCTGTAGGAAGAGAGGGATTTTCATTTTTGGCTAGGACAGCGGTTTACAACCGGGGCTCCGTGGCCCCCCAAAAGGGCCTTAGAGCAGTTGGGGGAGTTCACAATGCTAGGCATAAAACTCATTTACTTCACAAAAAAAACTCCTCGTTCTTCCTATTTTCATTGCTTGATAAGGTTATTTCACTGGGTGTTTTCACTTTGTTGAGCATGAATTGTTTGAACCTAATGGGATTTGGAATCTGCCAATCAAAATAACACTATAAATACCACTGGAATGATAAACGGAGCATGAGTGATAAAAGCTTTCTGAAGAAGGCCACGGAATCACTGGAGTAGGAGAAATGGGACCTAACCCCAACCTAGTACACATACTACATTCTGGTGTCCGCCATCTTGGTTCACATACTACAGGAATACCCATATTTTCGAAATGAGGAAATTACCATGTATATACCTTATGCAAAGTACTAAAGCTTGGCGTGATATGACTTACTTGGCGGCAAAAGGGATGAGGTCAATCAACATGTTAACGAATTTGTTCGGCTTGGGTCCATCCGCTGTCACATCCATCGCATCGTCAAACAGCACGTGAACCTGGATATATAATTACGGGTATTAATTTCATAACAAACTAAAGTTCGGCCAATAACTTTGAAACTAAGTTCCAGTTTTCAGCCATTCTAAAAACATATAATAATTCTTTACAAGCCAGATATCCAATACTCAACCAACCGCCTTGAGTACAATAAATTGAATGAACAGTTGGTCAGACATAAAATAATTTAATTAATTACCGTAATTCACTTCTGGGATTTTTTAAAGGCCTCAATTCCATGATGCCACATGACTTCAAAAAATTCAGTTTATGTACCGGTAAGTGAATGGCGTTTTCATAAGATAATTGAATTACAAAGGATTTCCCCAAGCGTCTGAATTGTTTTTATTTTGTTTCTCTCCAACAAAATTTGAAACCGACTTGTCTAAAGCCACTTGTTATCAATTTCAATCATTAATTTCGGGCACTGAGTTTGTGAAAAACTTCAGACACCAACTTTGGATATTACTTTTTGACAATCGCATCACACACTTTGGTCAGGCATTACCTTCAGACACTAAGTCTGAAATTAACTTAGCGGACCGAGAAAGAGGAGAGCTCGCAAGGACGAGACCTGCATGTAATCCGAATATCGGTATGTATAATTGAGATACCTGTATGACCGAATTATGACAAATATACACTTAAATTGGGGATGACGGAACTATTGGCAGTATCTCGAACACGGAAAAGTAAAAAATAAAGTGTTAAACATTTCACTCAAGTTTGGTGGGACATATTAAATCGTTTGTGATGCAGGCCATACTTGGCCCGCGGGCTGCTGTTGGAGAACCACTGATAAAAGACATTACCTGAAAGTTATAGAAATCCGGATCCTTCCTCGCATTTGGCCTTCTTTCACCCTGGTCTTTATCAAGTCTAGAATAGTTGAAATAAATATTAAAAATTGTGTTTCAGTGGCCAGCATAAATTTTGGATTAAAGATGGAAGAAAATCGGGCTCTGATTAGTCAAACAATTGTAGGTGTGTGTAGGGATTGGCATTTTTTGAAATTAATTTAAAAATACAAGCACCTAAAGAGATTATAGTCATGTTTATTTCTGCTACATCATTCTTGCATTATACGCATACTGATACAATACCACAAATGCACTGTAGAGGGGTAGGGGTGTCTAGCGCAGGGGTGCACAACTCAAATGAGGACACGTGCCAAATTTTTCAAAATAATCTTGTCGCGTGCCACGCACAATCGTCGGTATTGTAAATTGACTCCTGTAAAACACACATCAAACAAATTTCAATAATAATGCATAATATTGAGCAACTTATCATTGAAACAATTTAATGCCCTGAAAAATTGCTGATTTTGATATAAACATGATATTTTAATGTATATCATAAATAAAATTTTATTTTTACAAAACTGTAAAACCGTTCGCCTGCCACGTTTGAGCGTATGGCAGGCCAAATTTGGCACGCGTGCCTCGTGTTGTGCACCTCTGGTCTAGCGCACCGGTTCTCAACCAGGCCACACCAACACTTTCATGCGAGCACAAACCTATTAGAAATTGCTAAGAGTAATTAGTAATACAGTTTCATTTGTCACTATTATAAAATAAATAAAGACGTTAAGACGGCTTATCCATATGGCGAACCACGGCCTCTCGTTCGGTTACCATTCCAAGTCGGGTATGGGATTAGTTATATTGTTTGTTTTCGGAAGCATGGACTTGGTGGTGGAGGAAGCTGTAACCGACCAGCGGGTTCGCGCAGGTTCGAATCCCAGGCAGAAATGGTTATGTGCAAGAGGATTGCTGGACTCCTCGCCGTCGTTGGGTGGTTCACGTACAATGGAAAAGAACAATTATAGAATATAATAGGGAGGGGGCGGGCAAGACTGCAAGGTCAACTATATCGACCTACCCCTAACAATGTAGTAACAATGAATAATGATGCTGTTTTTTGTTACTGAGTGGTAATTTTCATTCTAATTATAAAAGTGAGAGTCTATATGTGTGAAAAAAAGTCATTTGCTTTTTTGTAGTTTTTCCCTTGCATGAAAAAGTTTATAGGCCACAGAGTGTTTGTCCAACGAAAATGGGCCATGAGAAAAAACCACAGTCTTAGCGCAATCTTGAGTCCATGTTTACTCCTCCAGAGCAGTAAATTATATAGATAGATAGTTTATTTCGAAAACTCCATAACAAACATAAGTAAAAATATTCTGGAGTATTCTGGAGGGCAAGCAAAACCTATAAAAAAGTTCAAAACATGAGAAGTATCTCATGTGCCTGCCCACCAGCACCCACACAAAAGCCCAATTAAATGAGGCTTGGGCCAAACTTAACAAACAAAATACACGTTAGTATTAAACTTTCGGGCTGTTGTACTTTCAACAATTACGTTGATAATGACCAATACCTACAACCTCATGCAAAGATAATGTGGTATTTCTACTGTTTGCTTGTAATTTCAATGAGGAATTGGACTTGTGGTTTTTGTACAGCGATATACAGGGTGCCCATAAAGTCTTGAAATATTTTTAAATTGCAAAGGCAATATATCGATACCATATATTGTTTAGGCCCTCACAGATGTATTAAATGAAGTAAAAATACTTGAACAATTACTGATTAAAAACAACAAACCTGGTTAAGATATATTGAGAACAGACTTCATAACAAAATAGAAATTGCAAGGGGACTTCATGGACATCCTTGTATATACACTTTCCCATCATTTACATATATTTCCGTAAAATATATTGTTACCTCATAATACTGGTCAATAACTGCGTCATCTCTTGTTCAGTTTCATGCCACATGGTGGCGCACAAGAATACTTGAGGGGTGAACCTCCGGTCTGCGTTCATGGTTAACCGTCTGGACCTTCTGGTTGATCGACGTCCACTTCTAATGAAATTGAAAAACACACTTTCTTTGGCAATTGTTTACAACTCTTGTGCAAATTCATTTTTGTTCAATAGTTATATATTGTGTTATTTATTACAAGGCTTTGACAAGTATATCAGACAGCTTGTCAAAGTTTTTCAACACCAATATTGCTGAGTTCAGCAGAAAATCACATCAAACAAACTCTGATAATTTAACTAGTTCTTAAGCATGTTATGTTGAATGAGAAAAAATTTGGGAAACGTTAATTGAATATTTAAACTATGCGAAATCTAGAGTGCACGTTGAAACCAGCTGAGAATCTTTTAAAGATTAAACATTAAACTGTAACAAGCGAAGTCTTCATGATTAAATATAGGGAGGAAAAATCTAAAAGAGGAAAAGGGGCGCTTCCGTAGTATGTGAACCAAGATGGCGGGCACCGGTCCATAGTATGTGTGCCAGGTTAGGGTTAGGCCATAATTTTATTCCAATTTTACTCTTTTTAGTTCTATTACGAGTTTGGGGACTAACCAAATGACTCCTGTAGTATCTGTACCTGAAATTATGGCCTAACCCTAACCTGGTGCACATACTACGTTTCGGTATCTGCCATCTTGGTTCACATACTACGGGAGTACCGGAATCGGTAGGACTGTATCAAAAAGGATGAAACCGCTGCCTCACTCTCTCTTGATAGTTTGTTTTCGTAACTCTTCAGCCCGATAGGAACTTCCGACATGCACATGGTATAGCAATGTGTAATGGGTAATAAGTTATATTTGAATTACCCTGATACTTCTGATTACCATGCGTGGGTTGATAGGTTTGAATCACAGAGAGCAGCGGTCAGCAACCTAAGGCATGTGGGCCAGATCTGACGCTTCACTGAATTATGGTAATCTAAACTCTGTCCAAACTCGACAAAAAATTCACATCAAAGTTTGGAAGTACATATGCATGCGAACAATTATTTTCGAAAATAAACATAACATAGAACAAGCTGAGAACTCAGATTAGTGATTCCCATTTTTAAAATGTTTTAATCTTGGCTTCATCCAGTGTCCCATTTAGAATATGTTTTCCATTTAGTGATGTCGAAATGTAATCAAGCGTGAATCAACAAAAAGTGTCACATTAAATTACATTTGTAAATTTTCCTCTTAAAGTAGGACGACTAGGTTGATTTCACGACTTGACGCAGTCTTCGCGCGTTGCATAAAATTGCGAATTCTGATCAGTGTGAAAAATTTTGATGCATCGGCCATCCGTCCGGTTTTTAACTTTCTAAAGACTTAACCTGCGGACTTCTCTTAACTTTGGCCCGCGAGCGACAAAAGGTTGCCAACTCCTGACGTAAAGGATACTTATGTGCGAGGGGATTGCTGACCCTTACCCTATCAGGGTAATTCACGTAATCGCTGGTAAATAGGAAGAGGTAGGACTGTATCAAAAAGGGTGAGGCCACTGCTTAATAGTTTGTTTTCTCAATTTCTCAGTCCGTTAGGCACTCTCAACATGGACTGGTAACCAGACGAGAGTCTGTGATTTATCATACACTTAAGCTGTTTTATTAGTCTACCCCCCCCCCCCAAGATAAATATAAAAATCCTATCCCAAACCTTACCCTCTCTTGTTAGTTTGTTTTCGTATCTCTTCAGCGCGTTCTAGTTCTTGCTCTCTGTTCTTTCTAGTGGTGTAAAGGCCTTGATACTGGCGTCGGTTCAACATCAGATCTTCATTGATCAGGATCCCAGAGTAGATGGGTTTAATGAAGAGAACTTCGGTTCTGAAAGATGATCCAATTGTTAGGTGCTTTTTTTATTTTCCAAATGAATAATTACCGTGATTATCGTATATTTACTTCATTTAATACATCTGCGAGGGCCAAAACAATATATGGTATTGATAAATTTTCTTTGCAATTTCAAAAAATTTCAAGTCTCTATGGACAACCTATATGATTATAGAGTTACTTTTCCTGGACAGGATAGTGCTAAGACTAGACTAGATGTCCAGATAATATGAGAGTTTAATAGACATGGTTGTAGGAAAATTTACCACTGGACTTTCAATAAATTATATTAAGAAAAGCCCCCTAGCAACCGCCATTATACCAAGAAAAACATTCTGGGTGAAATATGCACTGTATATCCCAGATTAGTTAGTTTTGAGGAACTCAGTTCTGAAAGATTATATAGGTGCACATCCTGAACAGAATAGGTATAAACTGGGCTGGACTCAATGCCTCGATCATATGAGATTTTGATAGACAGGATTGTGGGTAATAAGAAAATAACATAGAGACTTTTGCTAGCTAGCTTTTGACACCCTAGCTATGGGCAGCAATATACCCAGAAAAAAACATCGATTCTCAACTTCAGTAGAATAGAACTTTATTTCCCGATTTAAGGCAAACTAAGATTCTTACTCCTGCGTTCTGGGTGGAATATGCACTGTATATCCCAGAGCGAGTAGAAACATATATACAATCGTAAGTCCCCATTTCAGGCACAATACATCTCTGACCCCCCCTTCCCCCCCTCCAAACTTCACCCCCTCATTAAAGACACAAAATAAAAATAACGAAAATAACCATCAATTGAAGTCAAAACAAACCTTGACAGCCTGACTTGTCTAGGTTTCCAGATGAAGGAGGTTAGCAGCAGTAAAGACACCCATCCAACTATCAGCCCTGCCACGACAATGACAGCCATTTGCCATGATTCTACGCTTTGTAGAGTCGTCTTCCAGCCGACGACGTTGTTCAAATACTGAGAAGAAACGGCTGAAAGTAGAAAGAAGAATGATTATTGCCAGGTGTCAGCCGCTAAATGGTTTCCAAACTTTTATAACCCATGGCCTCGTTTCGGAAGCTTTTATCACCCATGACCCTCCTGCTTATTATTCTAGTGGTATTTATAGTGTTATTTCGATTGGTAAATTCAAATCCCTTTGTGTTCAAACAATTCATGCTCAACAAAGTGAAAACATCCTGTGAAATAACCTCATCTAGCAATGAAACAGGAAGTTTTCTTATCAAATAAAAAGTGGAATCTAGCATCGTGTTCTCACTTCAATCGCTCTGTGGTCCCCTTAGTGGGCCAAAGGCCTTGGTTGCGAACCCCTGCCCTAAAGCTCGAGTCGCAGTGTCATCAGAGTCTACTCGGAAATCGGAAGTCTACTCGGAATCTACTTACAAAGAGAAAAGTAGTCCATGAGTCTCATTCCAATTTTTGCACCATACATCGTGTATAATGATGTCATAGTAGCCATTATCGGCGTCACAAGCATCAGTGGGAAAGAATAAGCTTGCACTTGCATATTCGTCTGACAGGCGATTCTCCCGAAGTAAAACGCAGCCAAAGAACAGAGACAGTTTGTGATAACGGCATTCCAGAGAGAGTGTGTGATACTGAAAAAGATACCGTTAAGCGTATTAACATACAGTTTTTGTTGCAGTTGAATGAATGGCTAGTGGAAATTGTAATCATTAACCACAAAAACGTTTACCGTTTGTCTGACAAGAGACAGACATTCCAACGAGAGACAATCAGCAGACACTCTGACAGTCTAACTAGCGACAAACAGACAGACATTTTGACAGTCTGACAAACTACAAAAAGACAGACATTCTGACAAGCGACAAACAGACAGACATTCTGACAAGCGACAAACAGACAGATATTCTGACAAGAGAAAAACAGACAGACAGTCTGGCAATTCGTTCATAGTAAAACGCAGCCAAAGAACTTAGACAGTTTGTGATAACAGCATTCCAGAGAGAATTCGTGATACTGAAAATGAAACAAACCGTTAACCACAAAAACGGATAACTGTTAACAGATTTATATTTAGTCTTTGCAGCGTTTCACATATAGTAAACGTCACATAACGTCTGGTAAAACTGCAACCATAAACAAACAAAAAACGGTTAACCGTTAACCGATTAATATTCAGTCTTCACAGGGTTTCACATACCGCCAATGAGCTATTAGTAATAATGCAACTGTTAACCACAAAACCAATTAACCGTTAACAAAAGACAAACAGCCAGTAAAATCGCAACCATAAACAAAACAAAAACGGTTAACCGCTAACCAATTAATATTCAGCCATCGTTTTGTTTAAATACACAGCAAATGAGTGTGTAGTAAAAAAAACAACCACAAACGGTTAACCAATTAATATTCAGTCTTTGCAGTGTTTTATATAAAATGTGTAATTGAATGCGTAGTAAAATTGCAACTATTATCTGCAAAAACAGTTAAGCTTTCGTCTGACAAGCGACAAACAAACAGACATTCTGACAAGAGACGAGCAGACAGGCATTATGACAGTCCGACAAGTGACAAACAGTCAGACATCCTGACAAGCAACAAACAGACATACATTCTGACAGTCAGACATGTGACAAACAGACAGACATTCTGACAAGAGACAAACAGACTGACGTCCCAAATGAAACGAAGCCAAAAAACAGATATAGTTTGTGATAACGTACCGTAATTCCATTAAGACTATATTGAATCGAAAAAGTTAGTGACCGTTAGCCACAAAAATCGGAAATATCATGGTCTACCCAAATAGAGCAAGTGGAGCTTTAAGAGATCAAAAGGAGGGATTAAAAAAATTATACCTCAAGCATATGACACTTGGTAAAAATGGTTAATTGTTTTTAATCTCACTTTTCAAAAGATTGTAACCGTTTTCTCTGTGAAATTTGATTAACCGTTTACCATCTTACCTTGAGCATATAGCACTTGGTCGATATTGTCTGAAGTAAGTCTTTGTCCCATGAACGAGGGATTGATTCTTGTTGATGACAAAGTGAATCAGGAAACATAAACCAACTAAAAAAAGAGCATTGCTGAAATATACAGAGTATTTATTTTTGCGATGGCCCCTAATGAGGACACACAGCAGTAAGAAGAGGACCACAATGCTAGAAACTGATTTTACTTTTTCTTTGACAGAAAACTTATTTTATTTTTCACTTTACCAGACAACTCTCGGTTCTTCCTAGTTTCATTCCTTGATTAGGTTATTTCACAGGGTGTTTTCACCTTGTTAAGCATGAATTGTTTAAAGGAGGGAAGGAACGATTTACGGTGGCAAGGAGTTCAGCAATCCTCTCGCACACGGCCATCCCCGCATGGAATTCGAACCTGTGAGCCCACAAAGGCTAATCAAAGATGCGGTGGCGAGCGTATTCCTAACGCTTAGCACGATACGCCACACCGCCGCCATTCAACATAATGGGATTTGGAATCTAATAATCAAAATAACACTATAAAACTACTGTAATGACAAATAAGAGGCCATGAGTGCTTAAATCATCCGTAAGTGGCCACAAGTCATGAAAGGTTGGGAACTACTGTCCTATGCAATATGTAAATAGCTACAACAAAAAAACAAGAAAGCATTGCTGAAATATACACAGCATTACTTTCTTTGTATGACGTTGATACGTCACTAATCGGAGGTGTTGTGCATTGTGCTAAGCGTTAGGAATACGCTCGTCATCGCACCTCTGATTACCCTTGCGTGGGTTGGCAAGTTCGAATCCCTTGCGAGCTAATTATGAGTGAGGGAGATGGCTGGACTTATATGCTTGCAATTGCATCTCTGAATTTGCTGTGTAAATCACCAGTAACTACTCATAGAGGACTCTTCGGGGAGATAACTGCATAAAACTTTGTAAAAAATTACTCACCTATGACCATCATTTTGATGATAGAATATAGAGCGGCTGTTTTGAATCGACATCTGTCCAATTGTTTTTTGTCGTTCTTGAAATCCAAGTCTAAAAGATCTTGTTATTTCCCAATCACAACTGACGAAATTCTCCCAATATCGGAACGAAATGAAGAAAAGGGCTGAAAAGAAAGGATAATGTGTGACATAATGCATGTTCACCCTTGAAATAGGGATAATAATTTATTATTGCAGATTTTTCCCTAGAATTAGGAATATTGTTTATGAATGTGACATATGTAGACTAAAAATTTAAAACCAATTGGTCTAGCACATTTGTTCTCAAACTGGGGGCCGCGAGACAACTTTAATCTACAGTGTGTCTCCAAAGCATGACACGCTCTACCGAAGACATTATTACGTAACAAACGTTGGTTAACGTGGCAACTACCGTAAATCAGAGTGTATTGTTTATGGAAGAAGGCATGTTCATCTGATTGTAAATTTTCTCAAGGTTATTTAAAAATGCCCTCCAAATATAAATGCCCATATTACCGATACTATGTAATTATTACCTGTGTGCATGGCAGACGGGTTGATGATAGACGGGTTGATAATAATAGTCTGTGAGCATTATTTATAGTACACAATATTTAGATGTTACCGATGCCAAAAAATTGGTCGATATTGCCAATACCCGATACAGATGCATCGGTATATCTCTAATTAAAACTCATGCTCTTACCTCCCCCTGGGTTGTAAATAAATTCGATGGGCAATGCGAAAACTTAAAAATAGCGGTTCTTTAAAACTCTAGTGGTGAGTCCCTTAGCAGTGGGTAATTGTATATTGCCTTGTTCGGAGTGAACTCATTATGCGCTACCATTCACAAAAAAAAGATTTAGAATATTAGAACAATCCAGAAAGATGAGGGAAAGTCCCCTCCCAAACTCATCACATTTTTAATGAAAAATTTTAAAAATAAACTCACACACAACAGCAAATGCCAATACTTCGTTGCCAGAACCATCCTTAGGTAACTGCGTATATAATTGCCAACATAACAGCCCATACCCAACAAGTTGCATGATCTGAAAGAGAAATATGGCATCAATTAACTTGTGTTGAGTTTGGTTTAAAGTAAGACCAGGAGCACTTAGAGGGTCTTAATTTTGAGTGAAGTTACATGCAACCACTGACATATCAGAAGCATATGAAGACAGATGATACCTTTGGGCTCAATCCAAACACCAAAATGAACATTTATCAAACTAATAAGCTTGGTGATTGACTTGATATCGGTATCGATATTGAAACTCAAATGACTTGACTTGAGGATCGGTTTTAGGGATTTTTAGCCTTCGGAACTCAGATTTGACCAGAAACTGAGTCGAGACTCGACTCGACCCGGGTCTCCACCTGAACACAGATAAAAACACTTACCAAACTAGTAATCGCAAATGCAAAGTCTCTCTGCCTTATTGCCCTGATGGTCGTGTTGGTCAACCGGTTTCTATTTCTCGATATCGACATGTATTTAGCGTGGACTTGAATCGCTGAGGGCGCGAACGTTACCAATGAGAACATCAGAATTGCCAAAGTTGCGTCGATATTCGGGACGACCTTCACGACTAGGAATGTCAAACCGGTAGCATGTAGTATCTCTGGAATCATTCCCTGAAAGATCGAAATATAGCTTAATAAAAAATTTTATAGTGAGACTAAAAAAAAAAGCAATTCGCAAAGCTGATTGATCATGGACTTAAATTAGAAGCGGGGTGATATTTGGTGGCCGATGAGCAGAGCCATTACTCCCATGTGACTGCATGTATACAGCCTTGTTCAGAGTGTGATAGTGGCCCACCCTTTAAATGCAACCTTTTAAACACCATGTCTTGAGCCTAAAATAAAGAGGAACCTCAATCACGTGAGGTGACCCAATCCATGGCAAGTTGGGCCAGGAGCTCAGGAATGGAATGTGATTGTGACTAGGGCTGGGCATTTTCGAATACCTTGATGATTTCAGTATCAATAAAAAAAAAAATTTCAAATCGAATTTTGAATACTTGGAAGTTATGTAACTGTATACGACTTTTAATTGTGAAGGGTCCTCCAGACACATAAGTTACTGAAAACATGAATCCATAACCCTCCAAATTGTCAGTTCAGAATTGCTTCAATTAAAAAACTAAGAGATATACCCTAACCTCAGACGCCAAAATAAAAAAGATATCGACAATTTCGTCTAGGCCGATAATATTCAATTTGAATATTTGGTTCAAAATGCCCAGAGCTAATCGTGATTCTGTCTGTTTGTTCAGATGTGTAGTAACTTTGGTAGGCAATGCTGTAATACACTTATAATCGTACTACTGTACTTGCTGAAAGCCTTTTTTAGAACGGATAATTTGATTTTAAGAAAAGTAATACTAACCCATCCAAAAGCAGACCATTCCATGTCCTTTTCTTTCTTCATTATGAGCCGATATAGACTGTATCCGAGGGTAAAAAATTCTGGTACTAACAGGCAGACCATTAGCATCAGCATGGCTTGGTATCGTAGGTAAGTACGGCTGTGCAGCTGTCCCCATACTGGTGGTGTCTAAGGGTTTCGTCTTTGGGCAGGATCTCTCGTCAGCGTAACTTTGTGAATATGCATTTGTCAATACGAGTAATGAACCCTGTAATAAATAAATAAAATTTTGATTGATTGTGATGTCATTTATGATGTCATTGTTTGATTGATTGTGATGTCATTCATGAAAAACAGACAAATAACAGTAATTGACTCTATATCAAGACTTAATCCATGAGTCGACTTGACTCTGGGACTTTTATCAGACACTGATATTAAAAACAAACAACCAATTGATTGACTCGACTTTTAGACTCGATTAGACTTTGGGACTCGGAGTTGAAACTCAGATGACTCGACATCGATTGATGACATCGATTGATTGTCTCGATTGAAAACAGACAATCAACAGTCAGTGAGAATTAACTTGGTGATTCGGGTCTGGTATAGTTTAGTACCACATGTACTTCTAGTTGGCCTGGCTCAACAATTTTTGCATATGTCAATTCTAACCCCCACCTGACTACGTCACCGAAAAATTACGTCATTTTGACGTCACAGTGGCATCATAAGGCCCACCGAAGTATGCAAATGGTCGTCCAAAATGCGCAGACGATCACCTGAAATCGAGCAAGCTATTTATCTCGTCACGATAGAAGAGAGATCGTCGGCTTTAGCAAGTTTGTTATCGGCGGCGCAGATGCCATTTCGGGCGATCGTAATTATACTTTGGCAAGGCCCATGACGTGATGGTGGCGTCGTAGTGACATAATTTTTGAATGGCCTAGTAAGGTGGGGGTTAGGAATGACATATGCAAAAACTCGTTATGCTACACCCACTGGAAGTACTTTCCGGTGATTCGACTTCAGGGTTCAGAATTAAAACTGGGATGACTTGTGAATCGGGACTTCGGGTTTAAAAAACATTCACCCATCACTGATGTAAAAACAGACAATCGACCGACTGACTCAACCCCAGGAATCGACTTTAAAACTCGGAGTTGAAATCAGATTCTCCACTCGGGGCTACGACAATTACTCAACACTATGAAAAACAGACAACTACCCACCAGTAATAGCTACTTTGTCTATTCAAAGACTTAACTTGTGACTCGTATTGACTTAGAATTTAAGGAGTTTTACCCATCACTGATAAAAACACTCACAACTAACCAGCGTAACTTTGAGAATTTGCATTTGTCATGACGGGCAGTGAGCCCTCTGTAAATATTATATTAATATATATTTATTGGGACTTCCTGAAGTATGCGCACCAAGATGGCGCACAACCTGAACTTCAGGTAATGCGACATCTTGGTGCGCATACTTCAGGAGTACCATTAATCGTGATGTCATTCATGACGTCATGAATTATATATATCATGATTTGACGGTTGACGATTATGTAAAATTTTAATGGCCCTTTAAAATTTCAGTGGCTGCCTTCATAAATTTGTTGTTTCGTAATTTTCCCACCGGTGACATAAAACGTATTCTTGGCTTCTTGTCCAGAGACTTGCTCATAGTACCTCAAAGAAATAACTGAAAACTACCTTGTTCGCCAGAGCTCCAAGCAACACGCATCTCCAAATACTGCTGCGCTGACGTATTTTGCAATCTTGGTGGCGATATGGAGCAACGGCCCTTCCTGGTTTCCGCGATCTTCAGGGGGAATCACCTCAAATTCATCCCAAGGAGGGAGCTCTGTTTTCCTGAAGAATAGTAAAATAGCGGTCATAAGTCATATATTACAGGTATTCTAATAATACTTTTCAATGATTTCATGATGATTTAATGATGATATTTTCAATGATTAACAATTGTATTTTCACTAGAAGGCTATTACTTTTATTTATTTAAAAAAAAAGTTCGGAGGAATCTATGGTATTCGTTTTTTTGTGTGAGATTACGTCATCAAAAATTGCGCACCTTGGTGGCGGTTACATTCCCGTTAGTCGTGAAGTTTGCGGTACATTTTGATTAACAATAAAGCCATAGAACCCTTAGAATTTTATTGAAAAAAAAAATAATAAGTAATAGCCTTCAATCGAAAAATACAATCCTTACCCACTAAACATTCAAAGCAATCGGTTCAGTAGTTAAACAGAAAGTCGATTTTCTCACTACAACAACAATGAGGTACCCCCGTAGTATGTGTACCAGGTTACGGTTATGCCATAATTTTATTCCGTTCTCCCTTATTTTAGTTCTATTATGAGTTCGAGACTGTCTGTGTTAGCCAAGTGAATATACCCCTACCTATAGGTTTCTGTCCCTTTACACAACTTGATGTAAAGTAGGCGAACAAAATTAGTTACCTCTATATTGGTACACAACCTTCTGGAGCGACAACAAGAATTCTAACAACAACAGCACACTTACTTTTTTTCGTTCTCGGGCATAAGGGCCTGGTATCGGCGTCGATGTCTCGCTGGTGACCGGCCACAGCGTTTTGGCCTTTGCATCTTTTCGTCTGGATGCGGTCTCTCCTCTTCTTCCTTATGCTGGCTCTCGTCTTTTTGTTCTATTACTGTGTCGTCATAGACAGAATAATTAGGTTCTTGTTCTGTGACAAAATAAAAAAAAAGTCTGTTGTCAAAATTTGTTAAAAGAAAGGATTATTTCGCGGCATTTGTAGTTAATGAATTCTTAAGCCTTTTCCAAACCATTTTACTATTCTTTGAACGATTTACTGAAAACTGACTTTTCCTGTCTCTCTATCGATAATCCTTTCACCAAATGAACCAACCGAGATAGACGAAAATGCGCGCTTGTCTGTAGAGAAATTCTTTAAGATATTGTTAGACAACAGTGGATGCTTTTATCTAGCCTTGTCCGGAGCAAACGGCACAAGTAAGAGTCGCATTACGTCATTATACAAAAAAATTTCCCTGAGTTCACGGGGAACCTTAATTTTTTCAAAATAGTTTTCGGCTAACATCATAAAAGTTTAAGAAAACGACAATTTCTCAAAATCATTCATTTTATCTGAACATGTTATTCCAGAGTTTCTGTATCATGACATCACTTAAAGGCATTATTATATCAAGGTTTTGTAGTATGACGTCGTAAACGAGAAATTTTGTACTATGATAACACGTGCATGTAATATTACAGCAAGAGTTTGTAATATGACGTGGCCTTTTTGTGTATTTCTACTTGTACCCCCTAGTGGTTGCACGTAATTCAATTCTCCGACCTTGTTATCAAAAATGTTCTTGCGTAATATTCACAATTAATGATCGAATGACAAATGTTAACGACCTCCAGACTATATTGTTTGTGACAAACAATCGTCTGTATGACGCAATAAAAGCAAACATAATAAGCCAAAGTAGAACGTGACTTACCTAACATAATGGTTTACATTGTGAGCAAATAATATATGTTACTTCTCTGATGAGTCGATACAAAATTGTGCAATTACGAAAATTCAATATTGGCATCGTCAGGGGCGTAACCATGAGTGGGAGGGTGCTCCCGAAGTATGCGAACCAAGATGGCGGACATCGGAACGTAACATGGGTAACAGGTTAGGGTTAGGCGATAATTTTTTTCCAATTTTCCTTATTTTAGTCCTATTATCAGTTCGAAGACTAGCCAAGAGCCTCCCGTAGTATTTATACCTAAAATTATGGCCTAACCCTAACCTAGTACACATATTACATTCCGATGTCCGCCATCTTGGCTCGCATACTTCGGGAGCCCCGTGGGAGGTTCCGGGAAGTTCGAGGTTCGGAACCCCACCCTTTAAAATGTAGAAAGAAAGAAAAAATTCTGTATCATACACGGCGATTTTTTCGTAGCGTTGAACGCTTATTAGACCTTCAAAAACTCGAAAATCCGCGTTTTCTGACAGGACTCGCAGGGATGTTATGACCTAACTTGCCAATTAGAACTTTCAGAAAATATTCCCGCCCAATAGGGTTGTTGCGGATGAATTAAACTTCAGTTACATATGAAATTCAAATAAAAGCAAATGAGTATTTTATTATAAATAGGTTAAAAAATTAATTAGTACCATATTACTATTGAGATGATTCTTAGTCGGTGTTTTATTTTTACATCTCTCCACAATCGAACATTGCCATGCAAAAGCTGCACTTTTTGGACCAACATTTTTGCGGCATCGAAACATTTATAAAATGCATTAGCGATTTGAGTTAATTTCAAATTTGACCAAAATTTATCGCGAAATTACATTTGAATTTTTCAATCATATTTGTAGTGAAACCATTTGAGGAAAACTCTGCGTCATCTGATCACTTTGTCATAGAAATGCACACATTGTGACATGTCACAGACACGTGACCCTTATTTGCACTTCGTTTTATCAGTCATACAGCGCTTGCATTGCACGCGAAACAATACTTATCAAGGTCAACTCTTATTATTTACTTTATGATTAAGCTTATACATTTTTATGAGGTTTTTTACAAGTTTACTCTTTAGACAAGGATTACCAAACTTTTTGGGTCGTGGATCCTTATTTGTAAATTTTAGTTTTGACGGACTCCCATCGTAAGCCGTACGAATATCAGTGATTAACGAACGAGGAAGAAAAATGTTTCATTTACAACAGTGGCCCGCGGAGTAATATAATCCGGCCCGCGACGTCTCACTGAATTATAGTAACAAAACAGGGGTTTTGGCGATTATATTCTGTACGTAACAGAATTTATTGTAAGACAAGTGTAGACTAAATTATATTATAATCCAACAAGTATAAAATTCACAATCACTCGTTTAATGAGCCAATAATTTAATTATAATTAGACAAATGGCAACAAAGCGCAGAAAAGTTGATGCTAAGTGCAAATGGTTCGAACGAGGAAATAAATCTAGATTCTATTCGAGAGATATATCACTGCTTCATTTTTATTATAAAAAGTATCATCCGTTCGGTTTTCAACTTTCTCGAAATATGTGCGGCCCGTCAATGTCTTGCAAACTTTAAATTTGACCCGTGATCGACAAAAGGTTGCCGACCACTGATTTACAACAAAACAACACAAAAGACATTAATATGATGGATTAGGCTTCTTTTCGCTGCACAATTTATCAATTTTCAGAGCCATTTGTGACAACCTAACTCGCTGATCCGACTTTACCGAAAGTCTCGACCTATATTTATACATTAGCGATTTGAGTTAATTTCAAATTTGACCAAAATTTATCGCGAAATTACATTTGAATTTTTCAATCCTTTTTGTAGTGAAACCATTTGAGGAAAACTCCGTGTCATCTGATCACTTTATCATAGGAATGCACACATTGTGACATGTCACAGGCACTTGACCTATATTTGCACTTCGTTTTATCAGTCATACAGCGCTTGCATTGCACGCGAAACAATACTTATCAAGGTCAACTCTTATTATTTACTCTATGATTAAGCTTATACATTTTTATGAGGTTTTTTACAAGTTTACTCTTTAGACAAGGATTATCAAACTTTTTGGGTCGTGGATCCTTATTTGTAAATTTTAGTTTTGACGGACTCCCATCGTAAGCCGTACGAATATCTGTGATTAACGAACGAAAAAGAAAAATGTTTCATTTACAACAGTGGCCCGCGGAGTACTATGATCCGGCCCGCGACGTCTCACTGAATTATAGTAACAAAACAGGGGTTTTGACGATTATATTCTGTACATAACAGAATTTATCGTAAGACAAGTGTAGACTAAATTATATTATAATCTAACAAGTATAAAATTCACAAGTACTCGTTTAATGAGCCAATAATTTAATTATAATTGGACAAATGGCAACAAAACGCAGAAAAGTTGATGCTAAATGCAAATGGTTCGAATGAGGAAATAAATCTATATTTTATTCGAGAGATGTATCACTGCTTGATTTTTATTATAAAAAGTATCATCCGTTCGGTTTTCAACTTTCTCGAAATATGTGCGGCCCGTCAATGTCTTGCAACCTTTAATTTTGGCCCGTGATCGACAAAAGGTTGCCGACCACTGATTTACAACAAAACAACACAAACAACATTAATATGATGGATTATGCTTCTTTTAACTGCACAATTTATCAATTTTCAGAGCCATTTGTGACAACCTAACTCGCTGATCCGACTTTACCGGAAGTCTCGACCTATATTTTGTCATCATATTGGAGCGAGCTGAAAATGCGGCGTCCCAGAAGTGTGCGCAACAATATGGAGGTAACTAATTCTGTTCACCTATTTTACATCAAGTTATGTAAAGGGACTATAACCCATGGGCAGGGGGTATCTTCACTTGGTTAACACAGACAGTCCCCGAACTCGTAATAGAACTAAAATAAGGAAAATCGGAATGAAATTATGGCCTAACCCTAACCTGGTACACACGCTATGGGAGTACCTACCCTCAAGGTCAGCTTCTGTTATTTACTCTCTGATTGAAAGCTCATGCGTTTGTGCTCATTCTATTTTAAAGAATATTTCACATCAGTGTCCGAAGAAAGCCCTACAAGCGCATATCCGTAATATTCACGTGTACCCATATACTGGGGGTCCAAAAAATTTTGCTCGATTTTATAGTAACAACAAATTTTAAATAAATTTCATTGTATGATAAATGGGGGCTCCCGAAGTATGCGAACCAAGATGGCGGACATCGGAATGTAATATGTGTACTAGGTTAGGGTTAGGCCATAATTTTAGGTATAAATACTACGGGAGGCTCTTGGCTAGTCTTCGAACTGATAATAGGACTAAAATAAGGAAAACTGGAAAAAAATTATCGCCTAACCCTAACCTGTTACCCATGTTACGTTCCGATGTCCGCCATCTTGGTTCGCATAATTCGGGAGCACCGATAAATGAGATCCACAAGCACTATAACAACTATTGATAAACAAAGAAAAAGCAATTTTTAATTGTTATAACTATAAAATGAGGCAAAATTTCTTGGACATCCTGTATTATTATTACTTTGAAATATGATAAAGAGCCTTCTCAGGCCTCGCTTACCAGTAATACGGAGTTTAAAAGGCGCCCGAAACAAAGATTACTCAGGACCGTATTATTCACTCTCTAAATAAAGGCTTTTACGGGAATTAATTTCACGTTTTTAATTCATATGAGGTATTTTATAGGCTTCTGGGTGCTTTCTAAAGTATATACACCAGGATGGCGCACAACCTGAACCACAAACTGGTACACATGCTATGTTCAGGTTGTGCGCCATCTTGGCGCACATATTTCCGGAGCTTCGCCTTCTGCTATAGACAAGGCTAAGGAGCAAACGATATGTAAAGAGATAATATTTGATAGAAGGAACGGATTTGAATCTGGCTCGGGATTTGAATTCGATAATTTTATCCTACAATGCCATAACAGTACACTCCAACATTTTGCCTTTTAGGACGGCGCCATTTTGTCAAAATATTACATTAATTTCACTTTTTAATTAAAACGATCGCTGAATTAATCTTTACTCTTCAATCTTGACCTTCAACCTATGTCAGGGGCGTCATGACAACGACCACAGTGCCAACGGACCATCGGTCAATAATAACCACTTCATCACGCATCTATGGACTCGGCACTTAACTCAAACACTT